GTGAGATGTTCTGGTCTTTGCCGATATAAAGGTGCTTGTAGCCTTCAAAAGGATCAAAGCCATCATCCTTGCCGTCTGAATGCTCATAGCCTGCATACTCCTGACCATTCTTCAACTTGAGTTCAGGTGCAAATTCGTCGAATGGTCCCATTCATTCTATTGTATTGACATTGGGCAGGGTGTAGTCGACGTCGTGTCGTCTTTTTTCAACACGTGTCCACATAAAAATCTCCTACTCTATGTGAATATGTTAGTGTTCCGCCAGGGCAGGTTTTCCTCGCATTGTTTGATCCAGTTGGGGCCTCGGCATTCAATCAGCTCCGTCTGGCGTGCAGCTGTCTGGTCCAGAAAGCGCTGCTAGTCCCCACAAAGGTCGCCACCACTGCTGTGGTCCCTATCGATCATAGCTTGGAATGGGAGTGAGGCAGCGTGGCTCGCCTCGAGTCGCTGCCGCTCCCGGGCGGCATCCACAATCTCTCGCAAGTCCTTGAATAGCACTGCTCGGTCCTAGGCGTCGTTCGTGTTGACGGCAGAGCTGCGTTGTAATTTGAGGACTTGTACAGCAGCCTTGTCGAGTTCTTCCGTGGAAAACTGGGCGCAGGTACCGCTGCATCACTATCGAGCGGCAAATTGGGATTGGCAAAGGTACGTTTAAGGGTGCGTCTTATGAGATCGGCTGGTGGCTTCAACACCTTCATTGGATCCCGAATGATCGTATCTTGACTGTCCACGGAAACCACAGCGAGATATTCAACTTGTTCAGCCACTGCAAGTCAGGCCGTGTCTTGTCCTCACATGTCCAGTCAGTCGACCACGATGCCTGCACGGGGCGTTCGTCGAGAAAAATCGCATACGTCCGATGTCAAGGGGCCACTAGCCCAGTCCTCCTGGAATCCTTCCTCTCGGAGCACCACGTACCACTTGGGGAGCGCCCCTTTCTGGCCCCAGTCCTTCTGTTTGCAATCGGGCCAATTGAACGGGTTTGCGCGAGACTGGGCAATGAGGTACGACAGGAAGCCCATCCAGATAACGAACCAGTCTCGGGCGACGGCAACAAGACGTCTTGCTATCCCGTGAGTCTTGTGAGCCCTGTCGAAACCGAACAAAGATGGTTTGGGAGGTGTCGTGCCATACACCTTGTAGTGCATCCAGATGGTGTCAGGCGCGTCGCACTGCATCCACGTCTGAGCCTCATCCTGTCACATCCTATAGCGTAACGGGATGGAAATGAAGGAGGGGGACAGCAGCACGAAAGCCATCCATCCCCAGATGTAGGTCCACCAGACAGGCTGACGGAACTTCGCGATCTCGAGTCATTTGTCATTTCTGAAAGGCTAATAAAAGGCATTTTCCTGGGTGCCTATAATGACGGGTCGTGTGCAATTGGGAGAGTAGTAGATCGCGCCATCCATGACCACCGCGTGGGCGTTGGCCCAATCAAACGAGAAAGAAGGGGGCGGCATGGTGTTCTAAACAGCGATTCATGAGTACTGGCTAGAACATCATGCATGAAATGCAAACTTACTTGATGCAGGCAAGGTAAAAAATCCGCGAAAGTAGCGGAATCGAGGTCTCTTCGTTCAGTGGATCTATAAGGATGTGGTCAGCTAGGTGTCATAGAACACTTGAGGTGGGTCCACCTGCACGGGAGGCAGCAAACTCAAATGGAGTCTTGCCCTTTTACACACGGTGTGACCCAGAGATCTGTGTCAGACCGAGTATACGCCGTTGTCATCCAGGTGGCCCAGATATCTGTGGCAGCCGGAGGAGATGCGCAAAGGGTGGTGTTGGGACTGAGAAGAGAACGTCCACATCAAATATTCAAGCTCCGCTTGAATATTTCATGGCCCCAACCTTTCCCAGATAACAGATCGCGCACCCTCCCCTGCGGTGGTAAATAGAATAGCGAGGTATTTCTCTCCGTCTCTCAGGCCGGACGGTAGGAAACCACCATTTAAGCCTCCTTCAAGGGATGGTTGGAATTTGCCGTCTGTCCCAGTTGGACAATGGTCATTCCAATCCCAGGAGCATGGTATAAATTCACCATTGATATTAGCGGTCTGGGAGTTGGATATGCTCGCAACCCATGGACCGTCTGGAAAGGACATCATTGGAACCAAGATTGATCCTGAGGATATGGACACCTGGCGAGATGACCCTGAAAGTATTGAACCTTCCAGCGGCAGCGCTGTCTCCAGCACTATCCAGCTCGACGGCGAGACAACGGGCGAAGGCGAAGGCCTGGAAATATCGAAGTGGCGTCGTCATCCTTCTCAGAATAATATTATGCTGTGTGGACTCAACACGAGAAAGGGTGAATACTACTATTGTCATGCATTTGACCACGAGGCAGGCGGAAAGCTCACGACACGATATTTGGGTCATGGTGGAAGCGTCGACGGCTTCTCCGCCAGCGTCAATGCTGATCCAAATGTATTCCTGACTTGGTGCAGCGACGGACATGCGCGGTTATACGACGTCCGACATCCCTTGCCTGTGCTGACGATTGCATCGGCAAAACATCTAGAGCCTATGCCTGCAGCGGTACTTGCTCATCCCGATGGGATTCCTTATAGGTCTCGTTTATTTTTCAGACCTAGTGGTGTCTTTGACTTTTTTTTCAGTCATCTTTACAGGAACTGCACGAAGCAAATGTATTAACCTCTGGGATGTTCGCTCCCGCGCGATGCTTTATGAACTCGCGACGGGGAACAACTGCGTTGAAGCTTTGGCTTGGGACGAGACAAGCAACTCGCTCTATGCAGCGACGAGCTGCCCACACATCGACTGGAATGGACGGCACCTTGATTATCGCCCTGCCAGGATTCCGAAGGTGAGGACTGGCGAAGACGAAGACGGCGAAGGCGACAGCGAAGATAATGCAGAAGAAGACGACATCGAGGAACCAAGCGATGATATATGCTGGCCGAAAGGCGCGCATCATGCTGAAGATCACTTTGGGCACGTCTTTGACGCAGGTGATCATAGGCTTTGTAGGTTGATCCATTATTCTTCCGTCGCCTTGGCCGACAAGACCTGTCTAGATAAATTCAAGTTCAAGATGGATCCTGACCCCAATCAGCTGCCATATTATGGATCAGCGTCTCTCAGCACTGGCTTTTGGTAACAAGGTGGAGGTAGAGAGCACGGGTAAGCAATCAAATCTGGTATACAGATCGAGCTATGATACACTTTGTTCTAATTTTTAATCATCACCTCAATCGGAATCAACCAATTGATCTTCACAGTTGTCGTACTGTAATAGAAAGACGATCAGCCTTTTGATGAACCGATAAGGACGAAAGTTAAATGACCTCGCTCTTCCAGTGCGTCATAACTTCCCGCGTTTCTTGCATTAGGGAGAAACCCATATCGCTCTCGTTTGACCCGAAACCGGTCTGTTCGCACAGCAAACAACACCCTCTTGCCAGAGAGTACTCCATGTCGCTTATGCGGCTAGCCAACGAAGGGTTGCTTCTGCCGCATTCGACCTTATATCGCCGAACAGCGTCGGCCATGACTCTATCGAATTTCTTCAAACAGACTTCGGCTTGGCGAACGGCTTCCTCGGACCGGTCATCAGTGGAGGGATCATTCGCTTCCTCCGCCAGTGTCATTGTGGGAGGGTAGAGGTTGTCTTCAGGTGAAGGAAGGGAAAAGCCATCGTGGTGTGCATTGACTTCATCGATGAATTCGTCAATGACGTTGTAGAGTAGGTGGTATGAAGCGCGTCCAAGTCCTTTAACCCGTTTACGCGTTCCAGGGACTTTAGCACAGAGAGCGATCTACATTGTGTCATTCAAACACTAGTTAGAGATGTCAAGCGGGCAGGACGCACCTCAATTGCAGACACAGAGTCATCCAGCCCTTCTAACCACTGTGCGTAGAGCTCTGTTTCCAATAGTGGCATCTGGTCCTGTTTCCAACGATGCATGGCTGGACGTTTGGCGTCGTGCATGATAAACTTCACAAGGAATCGAAGGGAGCCTTCGTCTATTAATGATTGTAAGATGGGATATGGCCGATCGTATCAAGGGAAGAGGAGTGTACCTCGAGGAACCTCCTTCAGACGGAGGATAGCATCGTGGCTGGTAGGCTTGACTAAACAGTCCCGCAGAATCTGCTCCAATTCAACGTCCTGGGACTGGATCTTACGGCTTTTCCGTTCTTTCAATATATATGTTAGGATAACGGCGGGATGCAGAGCCGTCATACATACGACGTTTCCTGGGAGAAGAGGATGCCGAGGAGCTTTTCGAGGGGCTTCCATCGTCATCGGCTGGGCGAAGGCGTTTGCGAGGTGGTGTATCGAATGGCTCGGTGTCGCTGGAGTTAATGTATTTGCGGGGGGAGGCACTGTATCGTGTGGAGGGCATCTCGTATGAGGAGGTAATAGGACAATGCCTGGGACGATCAACAAGGTAGTCTAAATAGGATCTTTAGGGCAAGCTCGAGCGCGCCGTGCACATCACGTGATACAAACAAGACTGGTCTCGTGCCTCGCGCGTTGCCAAGAAGTGCCAAGCTGAAGTGGAGAGAGTGCACTAGCAGGGACAACTATTAGCATGTATTATCTAGGCATTGTCTAGATTCGGGCAACTAAATATGTATATCTAATGGTCCAAAGAGTAACGTAGATGGTCTCCAATTGTCAGGCAGAAACATGCTACCTACTAGCCCACGTATACACCACGCTTCGAGCAACATATTGCCCCACCCAATAATCCAAGCCATGGTCCATACCCATCCCAAAAATCCAGCAACGTGCTTCCCCGTCATCATCTTCCAAGCGCGTTCAAGCATGACGCCAACGCCGTTCATGAGGAAAAATCCCACCACCCTGCGAAAGTCGTTGCCGCGACCCATACCCCATAAACCAAAATCGTGTAGAATGCCAGAAGCCAAAAATGCCCCAATAACACCGCCAACTTTCCCTATCAAGAGATGAAGAGGTTTTCCACCGAAGCAAATAAAATTGTCGCGGAAGAGTTGGTGCCATCTTGCTGTCCAGAGCTGGTTGAGAGACGTAGAGAGCCAGGGCTTGTCGAATGTCGGAGGCCATTGGGAAGGAGAACTTCCTAGAAAGCCGACTGCAACGAGGGTGAAGAAGTGGTATACAACGTTTATTGCTGTGTACACGCAGAGCCCTCCGAGGAACGTAATGACGCTTGAGCGGGCATAGCGGAGATGTGGTGGCAAAGAAGAGTCGAATATCGTACCTCCCATCGGAGAACCGATCGTAGTTGGGTCAAACGACTGAACAACGTAATGGAGGATGTCGAATACGGCGGCGTGGGCGAGAAAAGACGCCAGGGTGGTCAGTAGGAAGGACAATTTGGACTCTACAGGGCGTCGCTCTTGAGGAAGTCGCAAGCCTTGGGACCACGTCCATCCAATACCTCGAAGGTTGAAAGCGAGATCTAGGGCATCTAGCAACAGTGTTCCGGTACTTGAAGGCGCCGATGGATGCTGTGGGGAACGTTTGGGTCGCTCATAAGGTTCTGGTCGAAATGTCCATATGCAAGCTCTCATAGCGAGGGTGGTGAACGTCAGCTGAAGGTAACAATTCCTCAGTTTTTGGTGAATAATTATCCACAAAAGGTGACACACCAGGAGACCTTGGTTCAGATAAACCAACCGCTCTTCATGGACATAGCCAGCAACTAGATGTAGCTGTGTTGCCCCATGGAAGGCAGACCAAAGTGTTATAGGTAGCAGGGCGAGTCGGATAGCGAATGTGTGGGGTAGGAGGACGAGAATTGCGGCGACATAGTAGGATAGAATAGGCGGGAGTAGCTCATGAGTGAAGGCTCTGAATGAAAGTGCATGGCGGCTTGTCGGTTCTGGAACCAATTCAGAAAGCCTAGACGATGATGAGCAAGGTTATCGTGGGCGCAAGGCAAAAAGACGTACCACGACATTCCACAGGAGATGAAAGTAGGAGACAACAGACGAACTTGAAAGCCCAGGGCGACCGAGGTTGACTGTCATTTACATAGCTAGGGGCGTGCTGCGCGTCATCGCCATATTGGACTTGCACTCACACCATCACCATCACTGCAATGTCCAAAATAGCCCCACCTAACTTAGCTTCATGTCTACTCCAGCCCACGGCGATGAAGCGATAAGACAAAATCTTGATCCCTCTTTGTACGCTCCCAAGGAAGATGAGCTTGCCTTCTTCAAGCAACAGACGGGAATCCAGGACGACGAAGAGTTGAAAAGCCATGTCATAAGTGTCCAGACAAAGGCCTACCAGGTTGGTCGTCTTATCTCCCATCGTGAATGTGACTCAAGTTCGTGGCCTCTGACAGGTCTGCGGGTATCCCTGTATTCGTAGATTTGGATTCATGAAGTGGGTCAGTCGCCACCGACACCTGGAGACATACTGAAAGTCCGTCGGCAGGCTCAATATTGCCCGTCTCCCTGCATACCCGAGGGCACTTAGCCTCCTGTTAGAAAGAGCCGATCCCGTTCTTTTGGACATAGGGTGCTGCTGTGAGTCGGAAGTTTCGTCGCCTGCGAGTGAAGGTTCTAATCACACTCGTCAGTCGGTAATGATGCTCGAAAGGTTGTTGTGGATGGTTGGTCGGCCAAAAACGTTGTGGCTTCCGATCTCAGACAAGGTTAGTATCTCTAGTGCACATATATACCTCCTTCTGTAACTGAGCCTCGGATAAACGCAGCATTCTGGGACTATGGCCTCGAGTTATTCAAGTCCACACCGGAGAGCTCCCCTGCAACATTCCTTGCAGGCGACGCCTTTGACGACAACTTCCTCGCCAAAACTCAGCTTCCTCCTCCTTCCGAACCGCGACCAGACCTCCATACCATCACCTCGCTCAATTCACTGCATGGCAAGATTTCCGTGATTCATGCCTCCTCATTCTTCCATCTTTTCTCAGAGGAACGGCAACTCGACCTTGCGCATCGTCTTGCATCTTTGATACTACCGGAGAAAGGCTCTGTAATTTTGGGACAACACATTGCTAAGCCCCAGAAGGGCCTTCTTAGGGAAGGAACTATGCTTCCTTCCATGTTCTGTCATTCGCCAGCGAGTTGGCGCCAGCTCTGGGAAGAGGAGGTTTTTAGGAAAGAAGTACCGGTCAAGGTGGATGCAGAGCTAGTCTTTATCGAGACGAAAGGCTTGCTGCTCCCCCAGGATGTCAGCGCGAAGTCTACCAACGTTTGGTTCATGAAATGGTCTGTGACTGTACTTTGATATTTTTCACTCTAGATGCGTGTCCATTCCCCAGACTCTGTTGTATTCCGAAATGAGCGTTGTATCCGATTCATTCTCACAAAAAAAAAGTCCGCGTCTTATGCTCTCTGGCTGCATGTTCGAGTGTGCCGAAATCGGTGCGCAGCTGAACAACTTTAGGATAATGACCCCCGGCGAAGACAGATGTTGCTCCGTATCTTGGGCTCGACGGGCTGGCCAGGTATAGCATCAGGAAAATCCATATCTGGCAGTTCTGACGATAGAAAGTGGCGCACACCATGCCAAGCTTCAGGTAGGGTTGCAGGCTTAGACGGCGTTGCATTGTACTCAAATTGTAATGCTTCGTCCTTTCACGGGATCTTCCAAAGACGCCGCCGCCGCCGCGAGCCGCAAGAGCCGCAAGGCCACTAGGGTCGAAGGACAGAAGTGCCTTCGTTACCGTAGACGCTTTGTTCTCTTTCGGGAAAATCCCTCTTTCGTCGAATAGCCTTCGCTACTATCAGGCCTTGTTCCATGAAGGTTAATAGTAACGTTTTGGGACCACTCAGGGACAGTACATGTCATGAGTACACGTTTGTATTGAGATATCGTACAACTGTTCAGACAGACTCAGTCAATTTTTTGTTTGTTACTAAATGCGAAGAACGAAAGCAAGGCGAAGCACAAGTCTGAGAGCCCGTGATTTGATTTAGTAGTTGTAGCAAAGGACTTGGTATTCCTGCAAGGCGTCGCCACCGTTAGGATGGTTGAAACTCCAAGGAATGAAACACGTACCTTGACGAGCTTCTCCTCCCCATCGTATGGAATGTATGCACCTGAGAAGTCATAGCATAGCGTTCAGTCCGATACTACATGACATAACGTGCAAGACGATGGATTTCACTTACCGTCCCATTTTTCGCCTATTTTTCCAGGGTGTTCCGCGCCCTTGTGCGGGGCCTTGGCGACATATATAGGGGTGCCGTCGACCTCACGTCCGCCCTCAACTGGACGAGCGCCAAGACTTGCGAGGTGGAGCTTTCCACTGGCAGCCACCCAGCGCAGTTGGCTCATGTCGCCAGCGAGGACTTCGAAGTCTTCAACCTACAAATTGGTCAAGGATATCAGAGGAGGATTGATGCGAAACGTGGACAACTAACGTGGATTTCTTCGTTCTTGCATCCGACAACGCCTCCTTTCTTGAAGGCATCCGAAGCCTTGCCGATCACTGAGAGGTATTGGTAAGCCAAGAACAAACGACATTGGTCGGGATGGAGCACTGACAGAGACCACCCTGTATCGAGGTAAGGAACGCAAGAAAATGAGTGATCCATGCAGGGAATGAAGATCGGAGTCAGAGAAACGTACATCATAGTACGCCCTGGAAATGTACAAATTCCAGGACTTTTCCCGTCCAACAAGGATGGCACCTTTCGGGATGGATTTCCCGTGAGTAAGCAGCCAGGTAGCCGGTGCGCTGGGCCCCTGTTGGTGGAATGCTTGTGTGCGCGCACGAGCATCATTGAGCCAGTTCTCGCGACTCCAGGCTTGGGCCTTGGCCTAAGATGAGAGATAAGAAAGATGGTTCGTTAGTTCAGATGAGACGCACACACCTCGTCTTTATCCTCCTCGTGTTTCTTGTAGGCGAACATGCCCCCAGCGAGGACAGCAGCACCACCGAGAACACCGGCGGCGAGCTCAATCCATGGGTCAACCAACTAGAGAGAAAGAGAGAGAACTGCTCAACTCACCCCTAGCTTCTTCTTGTTCTCTTCATCCCCGTACCATGGCTTGTTGTCTAAACAACGTTGAACAACAACCGTCTCGAACATCCGAGAGTTTTAAACGACGGCGTACCTTGCTGCTGCTGGCCAGGCTGGCCACCATACTGAGGCGGCGGCGGCTGGTGCGGCTGGGGTTGCTGGTAGGGCTGTTGGGGTTGCTGGGGCTGGTACCCTTGCTGGTTATACTTGTTGTCTCCACCATGATGGTGGTCATCTTGCAAACGTCCCCAGAGTGCTGGCGTGACTGGAGGGGTCCAGTCGCCCTGAGAGCAATTGAGAGCAAGGACGACAAGAGACAAAAATGTCCTCTCACCTGAGAGCGATGGGGTTGGATGATCTTGTATCGATGGCCTGATCAAGACGACAAGGAAATCGGTTAGCCCAAGCGCAAAGAGGTCTTCAGCGTTCGCCAGACCTTGATAATCGACAACGTCGTCGTAGTTGTATTGAGTTCCGGGCTCCCAGCATCGAGTCATGGTGGTAGGCAGCGGTTGAAAGTTGAGTGGGTGGAGGGTAGGAGGAAGGTTGTTGCCGCTACGGATCGTGAAGGTTTCTGCTTATTTATACAAGCTCTTGGTCTTGTTATCGATTTAGCACCCCATCCAAGACCAATCAATATCCGATTCCGCAGTCGGTGGGACCCATCTGGAACAATGTGAAGCATTTGAGGGTACATCCCAAGCCCGTTGCCATCAGCTGATTGGAAGAGGGGGCACCAGTGTATCCTGTCAAGTACTGCAGGTCATAGGAGGTGAGTTGGATAACTTGAATAGCAAGAGAGAGCGAGAAGAAGCGGACGGACCTCAATTTAACGTTGCCACCGGCAAAATCTTCCTCCACGCGGCGCTCTGTTCTTGTGGACGAGAAGACAGTGAGCGCGAGTCTCAAAATAGAACGATCCTAGCGCGAGCGGGCCGTCCAGGCGTTTGCCGGAAAAATCTCAACCCCTTCAACATCAGCACGGCCGCATTCCGCCTAAGATGAGTACATGTCCAACAAAATTCAGCTCGAAGAGAATTCTCCAGAAGGCGTCAAATCGTCTTCCACAAAGCAGCAGAAAACTCGAGAGCGAAATGGAATGGATTGCGAAATGGACACAGAAACTCATGGCTGCCGTCCCGTTCGAAAGCATGGTATGTATACAGTCCCAAAGATACAGGAGGCTGGTGAGGAAAGGCCTTGATTCCATGTCTTGACAGAAATACGTTTGCGAGGTGATCATTGAAACATTTGTTATTTCAAAGCATAGGTGACCTCCAGATGAAACAAACCCGTTTATTCAACCGACAGTTCCTTGTCGATGAATCTCGTTGCGCATTCCCCGCGTAAGCATCAAGAGCAAGTTCTCGATGCGTGCTTGACGGTCCTAGTGCGTTGAGAACAATAATAGTTAGCATGCTAAGATGGGACTGAATATTGACCAACCTGCAGCTCCTTCATTTCTTCTTTCAGTCGGTGAACGGGTAGCTCGCTAACGGCCTCCAGAAGCGCTTCAATGTGCTTGACACTCGCCTCCGTGCTCGCTGCAGCTTGAGCAGCAGCTTGAGCCGCCATTGATGAGTTTGACTCGGCTGGAGCGACAGAAGAGAACCGCGAGTTGAATAATCTTGCGAGGGGGCTGAGATTGCTTCCTGCCGATATCGTTATCTCTGGAGACGTCAACATGTCCACGGGGCTAAGTGTGGTCAAGCCAGAACCAAATTGTTTTGGCGACGGTTGTACAGAACTCTCGCCTATGCTTGCGGCACCTCGGGTGGAGACACGTCCAAGGCTAGTAGGGCGGCGTCTGCGAATCTTGGGCACAGGAGACCTCGACTCGCCTCTGTCTTTCGAAGACCCTTGCATCCGCATATTTTCCCGAGAATGTAAGGAACGGAGCGCGGGTACATCGGCCTCCGCATCAGAGTCAAAGATGTCAAAGTCACCGTCATTGACCTCCACATCAAAGATGGCATCGAATAGGTCGTTGGATGATGAGCCAACCAGGGCCTCGACGAGTGGCATATTTTTGATGTGTCGGGGCAGGCTGTTGAATAGGGACTGGGCAGCGTCAACACCTGTTTCTCGGAAACTTTGGCCTGATGCGAGATACCGTTCGTACATGCCGATGATGATCAACTGTGGCAGACTGGTGACTCTGATGAGGAAGACGTTGAATGAATGAAGAGCACGAGGAGTCAGGAACCAAGACGCAGGTTTCAGGAGAACGAAAGCGAGGACATTGAAAGGTGGTTGATAAGAAAACAAAGCATCGGATTTGACTCTGTATTGGGTGAGGTCCTATGACGGCTGTGATGAGGAAATAGTACTTACCCTTCAATTGTACTGATCGTAAATTGGAAGAGATACTGAGGAGTAATTTTTTAAGAATTTGGCTATCGGTGCATGGAATGAAAATACCTCTTGAGTCGCGTTCTGCATCAGGGCTGTGAGCTGAAGACATTTAGAGAGCAAGATTAAAACATACTGCATCAATCTGTGCGAAAGTATTGGATAGGATCGAAATCAAAACTGAAGTAGGACCCATGAGCGTTAGACGAGTAGATGCACGAGTTCGATCTTACTCGTCAGTAAAAGCGTATTCGAGAGTGCGGCAAACACGGTCATAAGAATGGGCCCAAACACCGGATGGAAGCTTTTCGCTTGAGCAAAGCTCAGGTACGTATTTCCGAACCAAATCTGCGTCATGAGCCATGCAATGGCCTTCAGCGTCCAAGGGTCGCCGTCAGGACTATCGCTCGCTGTGAATAAGGAATTTAAGCCTCCTGCTCCGATTCAGGCGCGAAGACGGCGTGCCTAGAGTCCACAAGGTGAACATTAAGCCAGAAAAGCAAATGGCAGCGATTCCGATGAAGAACACGAATTGTGATATCATTGCGCGTAGTGACCTGTTGCATCGACGTAGAGTCAGGTTGCAACCATTGTGACTGAAATTTTCTTACAGAACAACAATGTTATTCGAAATGGCAAAAAAGGCCAACCTGTATCTCGAGGTCAGGAAGAATCAAGCAACTATCCGTAGTAACGATTACCTTGGAATGAGAATGCACGCGCCACAAGCAAGGATGTCAAACGCCATATCAGAAGAGGGCACTATTAGAGAGGTCAGAGGAAGCCACGGGACGGGGGGGCAATGCCTTACAATCGTCATTACTAAGTCCTCGGACTCTCATAACCAAATAAAGGACGAAGATGAGGATAAACGACGAGTCGAAGGCGTTCCACATCTGAGGTCTATAAGCCTGCCATGCATCGTCCAGATAGCACGAGGCGCACATTTGCAATATAAACTGGCATTTTTCAATTAGGCCCAGTGAGATTATTATAGAAGGAGACTTACTGCCCCAGCCATGCTCGGTGGACGCAGTGTACTCTTCCAAAGCAAAAGCGCCTGCGAACACGATAAAGGCTACTTCCCAGGGTGTCATTTTGGCCTTATCGCGGTCTGACCAATCGGAGTTGTCACTTCAGAGAAGAGCGTTAAGAAGAAAGACACCGACTGGATAGGCAAAGGACGAAGGTGAGAAGCAGAAGCGCGAAGTTCAAGAACTCGAGGTAGATGCCGTATTTTGGGACGCGAAGCCTAGTAAGGCATAAGAAGTGTTGCTTCATCAGCCTCCAGCCTTGGTGCTCACCGGTAGTGATCAAGGAAAGGTGAATTCTGAGGGTTGTAAATTTCAATAGAGCGAGGTTTGTAGTTGTCCGCTAGAATAGACCGTTGTGCTGCAACTGAAAAGATGACTCTCCCTGAATAAATGTCATTGACGACCTTCTGAGTTACAGGCGACGCGAGGAACGATTTGGAGTTCGTGGAGATTGCCATCTAGTACCATAAAGGTGTGAATAGGCGCATAGAACGCTGGTGAATAAGCGGCACACCTCGATGGCACTTTGGAGCGCTGTCGATATCGTCTTCGTGGGCATTGAGAATGCTCTTGACTTCTTGGATAACCTGTGGAGTTGCACCGGCCAAAGGGTTCCAACTTGTGGTTAGAACGGCGACGAGTTGGATATAGTTATTCGCGAAGCGGCTCAAGAGCTTCATTGCCAATATCTCGCAAAGGTTTGCTCGAGAGAGCATCACACCGGCAAAAGCAAGATCGGTCTCGGTTTCAGCCAAAAAGTACGAGCGAACGACCAGACACGCATATACGACCGCCATGTTTCTGAGGCGAGCATACTTGTTGACAATCGGGCGAACGATGGAGAAGTTGATGTCAGCTGCGGTCAGTTGCCTGACGAAGCCGCAATGTTAGCAACGTACAAAGTACATGGCAGAGTACACCTCACTCCCAGCTCAATGCACTGTCTACATTGCGTCATAAGAAAGAAGGAGACGGACGGAAGCTGAACAAGGTTGCCTTGGACATACCGATTGTGTTCTGAACGAGAACAAGTGAGAAAAGTCAAGAGGATAGGTGTGAGAAGACATACCGTAACATCTCGTTTAAGAGCTGGGATGAGGGGGAACACCTTCACAGATGCCAGGTTTTCTGGAGTGGGCGCCAATAAAGTCTGTTGCTCGGGGTCCATGGAGGGTCCAAGGTGGTCTACAGCGCGCCCAACTGCCGACAAGAGGCGAGAATAGCTTGGATTTGAAGATCCAGGCTGCTGGTGGTGACAGTCACCGTCAGAGGACGGTAACGCACACCATGGGTGATGGGAAAGGCATCAGGGCTGCTCCGAACGGGACCGACTCCCGAGGACGACTCAGCCTGACATTACGGTTTATTATTACTGGACATTGCACCTTTTGTCTTTCTCATCTACGAGAACTGTCGACGGTGGAGAGTCTGGGAAGGGGAAGGGGCTCTATTGTTTTCTATGATCCCAAATGGAGGATGGCCAAAACGAGATGAAGAGCCGGGGGTTGCCTTTCTTGCTGGATCCTAATACGACCGCTCTTGTTTTCTCCTCCCTCTTATCCCGGCTCACCTCTGCTTTCCTTTTCTCCTCTCCACGAATGCGATATGGGATGCTGCTTCTCTGAGCCTGTTGACTTTGACGGTGAGGTCAACTTGTATCACTTTGACCTTCACCGTGCCGTTGGGAAGGGTGCGTTTGGCAAGGTGCGACTCCAATCTCCGTCTCCATTGTCTCTATCTAATCTCTCTCCTGCCCAGGTGCGGGTCGTCGAGCATAAACGTACAAAAAAACTCTACGCCCTCAAGTACATCGACAAAGCCCGTTGTCTTCGACAGAAGGCCGTTGCTAACATCATTCAGGAGCGAAGGCTCCTTGAGGAGGTGTGTAGCTAGTCACCTACTTCAATGTCTCAACCACTCATGCCACTCACTCAAGATTGATCACCCATTTGTTGTCAATTTGCGCTATGCCTTTCAAGACGACGAGAACTGTTTCTTTGTACTAGACTTAATGTTGGGCGGTGACTTGCGTTGTAAGCGAAAACTTTCTCGGGTGTGCCTGACGCTGACCAATGCCCTCAGTTCATCTCGAGCGCAAGGGTTACATTCAAGAAGAGGTGGTTCGTTTCTGGATGGCGGAGCTTTCTTGCGCACTGGAATACCTACACCGACAGCGGATAATTCATCGGTATGTCGCGCCTCCTATGCCACTCGTCGCCTCCTAATGTCTTCCGTAGTGACCTGAAACCTGACAACATTCTCCTGGATGCAATGGGTCACGCCCACGTCACAGACTTCAACGTTGCTATCCACTACTCTGAACGACGCCTGCATACCAGTGTGGCTGGCAGCATGGCCTACATGGCCCCTCAAGTTGTCAACAAGAAGGGATATTCATGGCAGATCGACTGGTGGAGCCTTGGGATCACTGCCTACGAACTGCTCTTCCACAAGCGACCGTTTGATGGACGCAATTCGGAGAAAATGACCCAGTCCATTATGAAAGACTCGTTGCAATTCCCAGAAGATGCAACAACGCGGTGTAGCGACCATGGCATCATGGCTTTGAAAGGAGTAAGTACTCTCTAGCGCCTCTGTTGCACTTGCTCATCCTCTCTAGTTTATTGATCGCGACCCAGCAACACGCTTGGGCTGTCGGCCCAATGGGCAGGGAATCGAAGACATCCGGCATCACCCTTGGTTTTTGGGTGTTGACTGGGACGGCTTGGAAGGCAAAGAATCACAGCCTCCATTTGTCCCAGACGTGCGTTGTCAACCTCTCTTCCCTTCCAAGTTATTGACACGCGACTTTACAGATGAAACAGGCCAACTTTGATGTAACACATGAACTAGACGAATTTTTGATGGTCGAGAAGCCTTTGACTCATTCAAAACGGAAAGCTAATCCCGACCTCGATAAGATGAAGCCGGAACTACGGCAACTCGAGGAGCAGTAAGTTCTATGACTTTTTTGAACGAATATCAACTGATTGTTCCCTATGAAGGTTCACCGTATATGACTTCAGCAGCATGAACCGCATGTCCTATTACCCACATAACCAGCCCATTGTTGCTATCGGTACAGAATCCGACAACACAGACCGGACGCTGGCACAATCAACCACAGGCACCATCGTTCCGACAGCAACAATCGTGGAACGGTCTCAAGCTGGCTCTCCCATATTTGAGAGCTGTGATCATCACCCGATACCTTCAATGCCAAATGGGACACATGGTTACATCGCGTCATGATTTCTACGATCTTTCGTAGGTCGCTATACTCATCTTATCCCGTACCACTTCACTAACATGGCCTATGATTCTAGACCATTTTTTTGATTATCTTTATACCAAGCTAATTACCTACGAGTGGGCCCTTCGAACTAATTATCCATTACGAGATATGGAACAGCATGTTGTGTCCCTACTTTTAGTCCTTCGACTTCCAGCACACCCTATTACTGTGTTGTTCGGTTTCTCGGCCGGCTACCAACTGGTTGCACCTCTTTCTCTCCACGGATGACCATTACGCACTTCCCATTTTACATTCCATCCTTTCATTCAGCGCTGGCTCGCCAGCCATCTTACACACGACCGTCTTCATTCTCCCAGCATGTGTACTTGTAGTTAGTCACGCGGACCAAATTATCTGAACCAGAGGAAACACGTTCATGAACATGCCTCATGCCTCATGTACTCAGCGAGGGCGCTAAAGAAGGCGCCTCCGTACCAGCTCTTTTCTTCCTTTGTTCACCCTCGGCCCATTCAACCCCAGACCTGTAGTCCAAGCTGGATGGGACTGATCCAATCCAGGTGCATGCGACCTTCTAAATCTGTCCTGTCCTCGTCTTCATACCATTACCAACATCTTCAGGTTCACGGGTAGGTTCACGAGCCGAATGTCTGCCGACGCGCCGCCCTCCCCACGAACGAGCGAATCGTCTGACTCTGAGGTCGACGAAAGATTCTTCGTTCGCCTTGATAAAGACATCAAAACGATCGCAGAATTCTACACGAATAACATCTTGAAGCCGGCACCACCAGCAAAAGTTCGTCGCAAACCCGACCCTACTCTCTTGGAGCGCGTATCGCTGTAGTACGTCTCGTTCTTATTGCTCTGGCTTGACCAGACTTAGCAAGGACGCGTTAGCCAAGGGGATATCACCAAGGTGGATATAGACGCCATTGTCAATGCAGCGAACCGCAGTCTTCTAGGTCCGTCGAAGTTATACTTCATGAAAGGGTACCTTACCGGGAGTTCTGATATTTGAACCTCAGGTGGTGGAGGTGGTATGTGCTCCCTGCTTTCCCCTCCTTCACCAAAAACTCAGGCCGTCTTTACAGTCGATGGTGCCATCCATGCAGCGGCTGGTCCTAAGCTCTACGACGAATGTCAGTAAATGGTCGCATGCCATGGCGGAAGTACCGAGATGTTCATGAATCCTTCCTAGGTCGCAAACTAAACGGATGCTCGACTGGAGAATCAAAGATCACGAAGGGCTATAATCTGCCGGCGTACGTCTTCACCAAGCAGACCTGTCGCCCGTGATTCTAACAAAGTTCAGGCGCCACGTTATCCACACAGTTGGACCCGTGTACTCCACGAGAGACAAGGAAGAAAAGGCCGAGCAGCTGGCTTCATGCTACAAGACGAGTTTGCAGTTGGCGGTGGAGAACGCCATTAGGCATGTTGTACGTCTATCAGACTCTTTTTATTCCGGTTACAGCCCTTAACTTTCGTGCTACCAGGCTTTCCCATCGATCTCTACCGGCATCTACTCGTATCCGATTGTTGATGCAACTAGAATCGCGCTGGACACGGTGAGAACCTTCATCGAGTCGGAAGGGGGTGCCAAGGTGTGTCCTTTCTATTTCTAATTGATATCCGAGATCAACATAGCGCTTATCGATTCGTTCAGATCGAGAGGGTCATTTTTGTAGTCTGGAGCAACAAAGACAAGGAGGTGTATGAGTGAGTTCTGCGTCCCATGCTGCACATTGCGCATGCGCTCACACAAGCGACGATAACACAGGTCACTCATCCCCGAGTATTTCCCTCCAGGGGAGAAGCCGCAGGAAGTTGAGCCAACAGCAGCTGAACAAGAGTAGATTCAATCACCCAGTGCCCCAATAGACGTAACATTGTACCCGATTCACCTTCCTTTCTGTCAGTTGTTAACATTTACTGAGATTCTCATCCCACCATGTATTTTAGTGACCGTGCCGCCTACCAATCCGTGAATATAATTCATCTCGATTCGACGATGACTTCTCTGTGTTTCGAAGCATCTAGCCTATCTCCTTCGACCTACGGCTATCTTACGATCCTCTAGCGAGGCTTGTTTTAAGCATCTTGGGACCCCATGTATACTTTGGTTGACTTATGGAGACACTAGGAGACACTCTTCAACCATCACCGGCCCGCTTCTGTGCTTCTTCATCTGTCTTCCGTGCAGCGACCTATTCTCGTGACCCTCAACTATCTTCATGACGTGCCCCCGTAGATTCTCCGTCTATTCGAAGAGTCCCACTCTAGACATAAAAGCAAAGATGGAATGCACACGTTGCTCTCCAACCTCTCCCTCTGTCTGACGCGGCGAACACCGTTGAAAATGGGCTTGCTATACAACATATTTATTGCGCTTTTTCGTCGATAGGTGTGTCTCGTTGTGTTTACCAACCAGGTATTCGATGTTCATTTGTTGCATTTAGGGGCCTTTTTATTCGGGTGGGTGTCGCCCAAGTCATGCTGCTAGCCAAGCGTTCATGCAGACCACCCTTGCTAGCTATGACAGGTAACTAGGCAGCCATTGTATATCCCAGTCCAGCCGACCGAGTAAACGAACTAGTGGGATTATCGCTTCTGTCATTACCATGGATCATTATATCGCACATTTTGGCAACGACGCTGACATCAAAGGGGCAGTGGTCTCGACGTTCAATGGTCTACAAACATTGTAGGAGTGTTTTTTCAGAGCTGACTGATATCCTGTAGGTGGCTGCTTCTTTGGCGCTGCTGGTGCCGGATGGTGCGTGATGACAGTTATCATTGTCGTGTGCATGCCGTGTACTAAGTCCATGAGCAGGAGTAACGACAGATTTGGACGAAAAAGGACCATTCAAGTACGTTGGTGCATGGTGTGATCAAAGGCAACAGAAGTGACCTTTGTCGAAAAAGATTGCATGTATCATTGCCCTTTGGGGTTGTGCCATGCAGACGGGGGCAAATAATGTCGTAACCTTGCTTACTGGGCGTATCATTGCCGGTGTCGCCATTGGGTAACAAGTCTGCATCCTCACTCTCTTTCAAATCATTAATTCGATGAACGGCAGAGTTCTGTCCATGACGGTGCCTTTGTACAATGTAAGATCGCTTTTTGCCTCTTTCTTCGCTTCGACGCTGACGATATCTTTTAGACTGAAGTGGCGCCTCCGAAGATTCGTGGATTTTTAGTGGGTTTGACCCAGCAGATGTTGGGAATCGGTTTTATCACGGCTAACTGGGTAAGTTGATTTGACAGTTGGTTTCTTTTTGTACTCACGCAGCCATAGGTCGGGTACGGCTCGCAATACATCAAGTCGGATGCTTCCTGGAGGCTACCTCTTGGCTTACAGGTTGGTTTGCTGCCGAAAGAAGTTTCCTTCACTCTGACTTTCAGCTAGATGGCCCCTGCTGGACTGCTTTTGGTGGGCACTCAGTTCCTACCATACAGCCCGGTAAGTCAGAACACTCTCGGATCCATTGTCTCGTGGCTCAACCGCCCCACGATACGCCAAAGCGGTGGCTTCTGGAAGTTGGAAGAGATGACGAAGCTCGCACAGTCGTTTTACAGTTACACAACAACGATCAGGTCTCTGCAGACAAGGAGTACACACAAATGTACGAAACAATTAAGGCAGAACTATCCGTCAAGAGTAACCATCTAAGCGACCTATGGGGCACTCGCGCAATGAGATGGCGTACATTTGTTGCAATGGGCGTGCAAATTTTCTGTCAGTTCACGGGAATTAACGGTCAGTTATAAATCCCGTCTGGCGTCTCAGGGCTTACCGACAATGATCTCTGCAGTGATCAATTACTATGGCCCGGACATGTACAAGAGCCTGGGTATAATAGGCGGAAAGGCTCTGTTCGTCCAAGGGTTAGTGATTTGTTAGCGATAAACGAACATTTTTTGAATTCAATTCCCTTCAGAATATACGGCGCTGTCGGCCCAATTGCCAATTTATTGTACGTACCCGTCGTGCTGCAGGGCGTGGTCCACAACTGATCTTTTTGTTTGAAGCTTCATCATTTTCATTCTCGATAGAGTAGGACGAAAGAAGCCTCTTCTTTTTGGAGCTGGAAGTCTTGTAGTTACGTTCTCCATCCTCGCCGCCATCCTCGCCACGAACCCTGTCGGCTCTGCTGACTCCAGCATCTCAGCTCAAAGGTCGGGATCTCAGTTCAAGATAGCACCGATACATCTACTGAACTTAAACTCGAAGGGCTGGTATCGCAATGATATTCTTGACAAGTATATTCTTCTCCTTAAGCTTTGGGCCTGTCAGTTGGGTTCTGGCATCCGAGGTGAGTCCTTTGGCGACTAGTCATCGACCAGTAAAAGTCACCTCGGACGACGTTGCAGGTTTTCCCCACAAGCACTCGCGCAATCGGGACCAGTGTGGCAACTTGTTCTAACTGGGTGTGTGGACTTAATTTGCCATTTTATGAACAATTCGTTAAGGTTCTTCATTCGTCGAGGCCTTCAATACTCTTCTTTCCCAGGCATGTGTTTCCTATGCAGTAATGCAAGTAACCTCCTGCTGATTCTCCTTGATTTTGAAGGTTGCTCCTATTGGGATTCAAAGAGTGGGATGGAAATTTTACATGCTCTTTGTTTGTCTGAATCTCGTCGACGTCCTCTTGATCGCCTCCTTTTTCCCTGAAACAAGAGGTAAGAAATAACCGCCTATCATCGCTCAACGCAAATCTTGTTAAAATGTGGTACAGGAAAATCTCTTGAAGATATGAATGTAATATTTGGAGATGCTCCCACTACCATTTCTTACAGCTCTGACCACTCTCCCGCGAAAGGGTCTGACTCTGATGAAAAGATTGCTTAGGCTGAGCATGGGTACTTAGAAGCGGGCCATACGCGGGCCGAACCAAGGCTGTTTACTGTGTCCGGCCCGGTAACGGGTCACACCACGAAACGGGTCAAATGCCGATTTCTCGACGACGACAGGAGCTTTCTCTTCATTTCTTTTTGCCGTATGGAGGTCATATAAATAACTATGATAAAAAACAAAATTTGTGGGAATTGACATGCCATTTGATATCAAAAAATTGCTCACAACCGGCCAAAATGAGAACACTACAACTGCAAGTGTTACTGGATAGGGACATCCTGGTCTCAAAAGGAGCCCTGTAGCTGTATAAATGTATATGAAGCCTCTCCTAGTCTACTATCATGTTTCTGTAAGCTTTTTAGACTGTGAGGAAGGTTTTAGATTGCATACATTCCCTAAATAGTGCAAATTTCACCCATAGTTGCATATTTGACACATCTTTTGGCCCTCGTTTATTTCAAGAAATCTGTTTCTCCTTCCAAGATTTTTCACCAGTCCTGTAAAATAGAATTTCCTCTTCCTGAATTGTGGGATCTGGGGCTCATCAGGCAATTACCTCTTGGAAAAATAGGTGCTGACCCGTTACCTTGGATTTACTGATTTTAGACTTAGCATCGGAGAATATTCATTACATTTTATATGCTTGATGTGTGGTAATGTAAATGCTCCCTACTAATTTTCAGGAGGTATGGGCACACGAGAAAAAAAGTTCAGAGAGGTCTACTTGAGAATTGTGTCCAGGAGAGCAAAAATGCGCCAGAGTGACCCGTTACTGGGCCGGACACAGTACGTGACATCACAAGGTTGGAATCAGTTGGCGAGATTTAGCCCCCCGCATGTGATGAATTTCATTACATAACATTCTCATATTCATGAACCAGTTCATTTTGTAGCCTTTGTGGCTGAGTGGCCTTCAAAAATTCTAAGTCAAACAGACGTGAAAACCCCCAAGGCAATCTGTCTAGTATAAATTGCCTCAAAGTTATTATCCATCGAAAGCGGGCTTTTATGAAGAACTGTGTAAGATGTATTTCAAGGTACATGAAACAAAGTTACAGAAATTCTATTTATCATGTCATAACTACAGGACAGTGAGGGAGGCTGGATTGTGGCATAAGTGCGTCATCGGGGATGTAGATGACGAGGATGGTGGTTGTAAGGGAATGCAAACGCAGCGAGACCACCAGACATGGGGTCGAGGAGAGCGTATCCTGGGTGAAGAGCAAGGGATGAAGGTCGCCGCCCACGACGGCGATGGCCACAGAAAAGCGGAGGGCTCCTCACTGGTGAACGTGCAAGTCGTCAGGGAGAAGAGGGGTGGGCGAGGGGCAAGTAACAGGCATTATCGTGGGCGTCATTGTGGGTGGCAAAGGGTATGGCAATGGGATCACGATGATGGTGGCAGCAGAGATGATGGTGGGAGGAGAGGAACGATGGGGAGACGCATGGGACAGAACCAATTCGTGAACCAGCTGTGTTTACATGATGCATTGCATCACGTGCAGGGGGCTAAAAGTCAAAACCTGTTGGAATCTTGTGCCTGAAGTTAAAGTTGCTTTCACTGTTCCCACATGACCTTTGCTTGACTCGACTAAGCGACACATATATCTTCTTCCTATCCTTATGTGTAACACACTGGAAACTTGGTCTCAATTCTTTACATATTGTGTCCTCAAAGAACATTCCCGACCTTCAAACAACATCTGACTCCTTGAGGACATGAACCAAGTCATCAACTTATATGCATCTGAACGAGAAGCGGAGGTGTTCACTTCTGCTCATAAGCAACTTCCATTGTATTAACGTGGATATTCAGGCAATTTCATCAAAGGCTTCACAGGCAGAGTTTTCCAAGGATTACAACTGGGTGTTCAAGCTCTATATCAAAGCCGCAGAAGCTTTTCTTCATTTGAGTCGGGCGACTGCTGCAACTGATATGGCCACACAGCGGTGGAAATCCAGTGCTAAAAAGTCTCTTGAACGTGCAGAGAAAATCAAGAGATTTGTTGAAGCCTCTTGGCGAGCCGTAATCTCCTTGTCCAATTCCAACCTACAACCGGCTGCAGAACTCCATTTAACACCTGTTGCCATTAATCACTTTTCTCATCATGAGCACTGGAGTGCGTAGTGTTACTCATGAATTGACTCTCGTCCAGAGGAGCAACTCTACGTGCTCAAAAGGGGGAGCCATGTAAATGGCATTGCCTTTCTGCTGTGGGACAATCCTATATCGAAGTCAAGTTGCCAGGGCGTGGATTATATGTATGTTTATTCTATACATTCTATCCACAGTCATTCCATCTAACTCCATGCCAGCAATCCTGACAGACAACCAAAGCTTTCGCCTGATCAACAGAGGGTGTCTCCTATTTGGCGGCAGCCAGGATCCACTCTCCTGACTGCTGCAACAATCAAATCTAGTCGACGTATTTTACCGCAAGAGATATTGCAGCATGTCGTAACCGATTGCTCTGTCTGCATGTCTATATCTGTGTGTCTCGAGCATGGTTGAAGATTCGGCTCCACCATAAGTGAGGAAAGCGAAAACCACCAGCTCTTGTTCATACCGCCCAGCTCACAGAGTTGTCAGTACAAAGTCTATCTGATGGACAACAAGCTAGTGGGCGATATGATGTTCGCATTTTATTCAACGGTGCATGGCGTCGAGTGCGTCAAGTTTCAAACTCGATTGATCATAGCTAAGATGAATCACTCTTTGTGCTTCAGATAGGTAAGGTTTTCCCCATTAATCACTTCTTACCCTCATTCCAAGGATATCTAGTTATCGACGACCAGCTGCCTTTCCATCCAACTGAAGGCACTGTGATGTGCATGTCGATTTTATTGCCCAAATTGACAGAAGCCCTGGGCACTGAGGAGACACCGCTCTGGCCGAGCCTCCTAGAAAAGGCCATAGGGAACCATCTCAACTTTCGTTGCGTTAGGATTTTGACCTCATCCTTAGTATATGAAGCTTATGGGCGGCTACGACTTTCCAGGATCGTAAGGCATTCCTTCGCACCTGTGGGCCAATCATCTCACAGCGTAAATAGAAACTCGAGTATCGATCTCCAGTAGGCATCTTGTCTCAGTGCACAGAAGGCATGGACTAAGTTCGCTAGTGCTCTTGCTGGCTGGATACCGGAGCATATAGAAACCAAAAGGTCATTAGGCTTTTGCTTTCCAAAATCGCTGCCTATCTCATTGGAAATTCTTTCAGGTCCCATTTTGAGAGGGAGAAGACCTGGGAACGGATAGAAAGCGGGTTCTCTGCAGGTACATCTATCAAGCTGTCGTGGTACTGGACAGGTCAACTTCATTGCATGATCATGACAGGCCGATGTGTTGTAACTCTTGGAACTGGTCCGAACCCCTATGCTCACTGGCGGGACACGGCCCTCTTGCCATCTCATAGTTATGCTGTGATCGGTAAGATTCATTTTTAGAAGTACAAGCCAGACACTGATTCTTTAATGAAGATGTACGAATCAGAAGAAGGACAGATGTTTACAGTGTTAGATTCCTGGGTTGGGTCAGATGCAGATCACAACGGAACATCTAGTGAGTCCAAGAGACCTTGCAATGAATGGAGCTCCTGACTGGGGGCAGGGGCACTACACGTTCCATGGTCGGAAGTGCTCAATACCTTTGACGGAGTATATCTGAGCTGGGACCCAGATTTGTGGAGAAACAAGCTGATCTTTCATGGGTGTGTGCTTTGTTGAGTGCTTATCAAGGGAGAATGTTTATTCATCAACCTTTGAAGAATGTGGAGACGCACTAGAGACGGCGAAAGCGGTATGTGTCTGTCCATTTTGTTGCTCGGTTAAAATTTAAAATGTTTCATAGGTACTAGGCATTTGCGAGTGGAGTTCAAGAATGACTCTCTCATTGAAGAAGAGATATGGATCTTGTTAGCTCGACACACTTCGGACTTCTGATTTTATTTCTTTACACGTCGAAATAGAAGATGAGGCAATCTCTGGTGTAAATGCCATTGAGAATCAACACATCCTTGCTTCCAAGGTCTGTCAGCATTTGGTCAGCAGATTCTTGAACTGAGCTGTGCTTGGTAGAGCACCTATACCAACAGCACTCACATTTTGGTACTGCATATATTTCTAGATTAGCCCAAATGCTTATCGTTTCCTAGGTCTGAACTCGTATCTCGCCTTTGCAGAAATCAGGGGTATTGTCAATATTGGCGTCCTATGAAGGAGAAGCTCAGGAGATCAGATTTACACTGACCACGTATGCTCAGGAAGTGATCAAGATGGCTTGGATTGAGCATACTCCAACACCCCCATATACGGAGACAGTGAGTAGCATCATTTGTATCATATTCTTTTCACTGAGAAGGTTCAATTCAGGTCGAAGTGTCTTTATCGTCCAAAAATGCTGGTGGAAATTGCACATACCTGACTTTCATGGTCAATCCACAACATCGTCTCACTCTCAAGCAAGCAAGAGGCAGATCAGATAAGGCGAAAGTGACCCTCACCATCAAGGCAGGAAAAGATGTGCCAGTCAACATGGCTATGGTGTGGTCCAATGGCCAAAGGGTCTCGGAGTAAGGGTTGTCTGCTTCAATTGTGCCTCGTTCATCTGGAGTCTTCAGGCTTGCGGAGAAAGATCTGGTTGCTACTTCAGGAGCATATAGCTACGGGATTGCGAGAGTTACAAAAGATGTCTCACGTATGTCCCAGCGATCTCACCCCATCTTTACCCTCACCATGGAGTAACAGTGGGTGAATATACCATAATCACGTCCGCCTTTGAACCCCATCACATGGGAATGTTTTCCTTGAAGGTTGATTCCTCTCATCCCTTTGACTTTAAGCCCATACAGCAAGAGGGTGCCGGGATGTATAGCAAAACTGTACAAGGATCATGGTTAGTCATTCTCTTTGCCTTTGCGAGAGCCGAACTGAGATGGTCCATCTTTCAGGGAGGGGAAATCTGCCGCTGGTGCTCCATCTTTCAACAGATATTTCAAAAACCCAATATACAAGCTCATTGTTCCTTCTACAACTCGGTTAAAGTGCTTCAGTCAACTGTATTCCATGGATTACTGATGGAACAGGAAGCAGGATTTGGCTCCAGCTTTTGCAACCCACAACTGCAGTCTCGCTCAATGTAACAGTGTATTCCCAGCTGCCTAATGATGTCACACAGCCTTTGGGACACCAGCGGCAGGTTGTAACCTCCGGCGTGTATGATGATGCTATTTCGGGAGTGGCAACACCCGAAGTAGTGGTAGGGATAGGGAAGTATTACATTGTTCTGTCAATGTACAACCCAGGGTTGGAGGCCAAGTATCGAATCATCGTGTATTCCAGTGTCGCAGGCATCAAGGTAGCACCAACAGGCCGCAAGACCTAGTTAACATCACCTCTTGGGCTTGCGCAGAAAGACAGTGGGCTGAGCAGAAACTCATTGATACGCTTGAGAGTCGCTTGAGATGGATTTGCCTGTGGCCTGCTGGCTATTATCCATTCAAGCCTGGTGTGGATGCTATTCTTGCTGAAAGCTGGCTCAAGATTAGAAGGAAGTCAAATTGTAATGAATCTATAATGTACCTTTTGCAATCATATCCTCCTTGAAAGAAACATCCCCTGGCCCTCTGAGGGTTCCATCGCTCTTGAAGAATAATTGTAGAGCTACAAGGGCGATGCCAACACTCAAGTCTTTCCCAGATTCACAAGCAATGTATACGGTTTCTCCATTAAACAAGTGTTCGCAAATAAACTTGGACATCATAGGTAGAACAATCCGCAGAAAATGCGCTTGACCCCTCTTTCCCACTAGGACTGGGACATAGAGCTTGTGGCGATTCAAGAGTGGAGGCTCTACACTGGGCATCAAAATCACATAGACATCGGCAAGTCCTCCAGGAAGGGGTAGCAATGCCAGGACATCTGTCAGTGTGCAAATAAGAACTCGACCTTCAGCCCTTTCTATGGGAGTTGGGGATTTCATTTCAGAAGGAAAAGATGAGGCTTCTTGAGCTACAATGGTGGACACAACTTCAGGCAACTCTGCACAATCTGCTGACAATAGATTACGGCGGTGTGTCCAGAACATTGCTGGGGTCAAGCCCTAGATGTATGGTTAACAAACAAATTGGTGGCACAGGGGGGACATACATACCACACCCCAAAGCTCATGATCGTCTCCTGACCCTTGAACGTATGAAAAGCCACTTGTACACTGTTCGACCCCTTGATCAACTTGTCGCGAGGCAGACACACATACAGCAGGAAGAAAGTTGCATTTGCCAGCTCAAACGTCCAGAAATCTAGGGAAGGCAGAGTTGGAAGGAGTTATCCATAATGGTCTTAAAGGACCAGGCAACACTGGCAGCTTGAAAGAGGAGGCCTTCATGACCATGTCAACTATCAGAATTGCAAAAAGGTAGGTGAGTCCTTACTGCTAAAGCCTGGGCCCACTCATTGAGCCGCAGCTCAATTTGATGATGTTCTTGCATACTGACAGCTGCTGGGGGAGTGTACAGAGAGATATCCCAGGAGAGGGCCCCTCCGTCACAAAATTGTTCCGCATGGCGGATGAGCAATGTCCGATTGATGACTGCACACCATATCAGCATGGTTTTTGACAGGGCATCGGGGATGTGTTTCCCTGTGCAAGTAGAATCGATTAGAATTATGCTGATGACTGTTAATGAAGATGGCATGAGTCGACCTGACAAGAATTGAACTCACCCATGGTGTTTGAGAATTAGAGGAAGTAAATGAAGATTGGTGTGATGAAGGTTGAAGCTCCAATTGTTGAAATGCCCATTGGTGGACTTGAAGTAGGCAGGAACATCAGCGGCCTAATAAAACTTCAACACCCATTCACGAGCAATACTTTTCTAAGTAGACTCACTATTGAAGGGTCTGTGTACCAAGCCCCACACCACAGATTTGCTGCCCTTCTAAGGTCAGTGGCGTTTATTGTTGGAAGACACATTCATGAATGCAGGAGCAGTGTGTCTGGATAGGCGGCATGCACTCGCTTTACAAACTCAATGTCTTCTTTGATAGAATGGACTCGGTTGAAGATATCAAGAGATTCTCTCCTAATATATTCGAGAGGGTTAGGACTGTCATGTTGCATATCATTACGAGGGACCATAGCACTCCTGAGAGTCAGATGGTCAGATGTGGTGCCAGAAGAGGTGTGCAGGTTACGTAACATAATGTAGCCTCCTTGAAGCCCCCGAAGTTCTCTTTGCGGCTCAGCCACTTCAATAGCCTATGGCTTTCAGCCCAATTGGATTGCAAAGCCTTCCTGTCAAGGTACGCAACTTCTTGTTTTGCGATGCTGATAGCATGCCCACTTTTTTCTTCTTGACAGTTGCTTTACGAGGTTGAACTTTACTCGCTGTCGAAAAATCTCCCTCTTGTCTCCAGCCATTTCTACGATGTGTATAAGAATGCACCATTATTCTTTCACACCCAATATATTCTTGGCCGCGTTATGACCAGTGCCGATCTTGACCTGTCCAAAGTCTACACTCGAGCACTTCACTATCCCCTCTGCCATCTTCGGGTTCTCGAGATAATCCACGGCTTGCTTAACGATCGCTGCCCCTCAAAATTGCATGTGCAACTACCACGCCGACTGTTTCGCTTGTTGGTTCAACCACAAACTGGATGGTCAAACCAAGATGAGCCCATCCCTCTCCTCCAGTACCTTTATCATACCCCAAATATGCCTCTGATCTACACCAATGCCAACAATGGATATGCTCTAACAAGAGCTGTACATGCCAAGTTTCTGCCTCTCGTTCAGTTTCTTCTTGACCATCGAGCTTCACCTACATGCCATGAAGGCCTTGTGCTGAAGGTTGCCATTCGACATAATAGTGTTGATATGTTCAAGATGCTTGTTGAACAGCATCCAGGTTCCAAGCAGAGGGGCAAGAAACGGAAGCTGGAGGATAGGGTTCTTTTGGACTCCAATGTGCTCAAGGTTGCTGTCATGTTGGATGCCTGAGATATCGTCGAGTATCTCTATTGAGAGAAGGGTGTAGTACCCGATGTACAAACCCTGAAGAAAATAATGTCCTTGTGATTGTGAGTGTCAATGTAGATTCTGATACATAACACTGGGTTTTTGATGGATGATTTGTATTGGTCACGAGTCTATTACCCGAAGGCCAGTCCCCTTTCGACTCGCAAGGCTGGGTGCTGCCAGATATGATGAGCTCGACCTCCTTTGTGCGGCTGCCTTGTGGCAAGACCCAGTCTCTGACATATCGTAAGTGCGTTCTGATGTTGATTAGCAAACTCCTGCTAAACACCATCTCATAGGACCTTGAACATGCTATCTGGCTTGAAGAAAGATTCAACTGCAATTGTGAAGGACGGACTTTTACGATTTCACAATCGTGTAGAAACCATTTTTCACAAGTCTGGATGACGGTCTCTGAGAAAAGAGTAAAACATCTCAAGACGTCACCGATCTGCTTTGGCAGTCTATAAGAAACTGACTTCTAATTCCCATCCAGTTACATGCAGTAAATGAGATGATGACAGAGTCAATAAACTAGAGTAAAACAACAATGAAAGTGAGATTCAAAACTGTGAAGAAATGCTCGTAAACTCATCGATGGCAAGTAATGCTGAAACGTAGATGGGTCATTAGATATCATCAATATCAACCTCTCCTTTGTCTCCGAACTCAAACGTGCACTCTCCGTCCTCCTCACCAAAGGTGTCTGTCTCATTGATTTTAGCGTTTTTGGGGAGTTCGCCATAGGCTTTCACTTTGGGGTCATGGAAGATTATGATAAGGATATATAAAACTTCATAGAAATACATGTATGGTTACATGCCTCATCAGCAGTGTACTTGACAATGACATCGGCCTTGTCATCTTGGAAATCTCGCAGCAAGAGTAGGACAATATCTCCCTGGTTAATCCAGACCTACAAATGGATCAGAGTATTAGGCTGTCTCAAAAACTGCATTTTGCACAGACGCACCTTCTTCTGCATCTTCCCTCAAATGTGTGCTAGCTGCTTCTCTCTGTTGAGGCATTGCACCTCAATATGACCATTTCCCAGCATCTTCGTCACTTGGGCATATTCTTGCCCATCTTCCTGGAAGACTGGCTCGTGCTTGTCATTGTTGTTCTTGTTCTTTCCGCATCTCCTGTTTTTACCACCCTAACAACGGCAAGATGAATCATACGAGTCTGTGCAGTTGATCATTCGCAACACACTAGGGCTGGGTTAGTTGGGAAATTTCCGAAGTAACTCACTGTGAGTTGGGACCCCCTGTGGCAGGTTGTGAGATACTTGTGTTAGTAACAGTGAGTTCATTACATAATCAAATTTTGCAAGGAAGCGCAAATTTTCAACAGATTTTCTTAAATTTTGGCTTTTGGGGGGTTTCTGGCCCAACTTCTGCACGGGAGATGGTGGCAGCGCGTTTCTCTAGTGCAAAATGGCCATTTTCCATGTTGTGTGACTGGTGGGTACCTGGGTATTGACGAGCTCGCATTGATAGGGTTGCCTTGAATTTTCCATGCTTGATTCCCTTCTGGGCGCATCACATTTGGACAATTTTGTGCCCATTCTGATTGGATTTTGCTCAAAATTATACCTCGACATCCGAGATGCCAACCCAAGATGGCCAAGAATCCCTCAAAAGTGACCCAGATACTGCCATATATAGATGGGTATCTAACAGTATTTCACAGCGCATTTTTGACCCTCCAGTGTGAGATAGGTTACTAACTGTTGGTTAGTTGGTGATATACCTGCATGTTACTAACATCAGGGTATCCAACCCAGCCCTACAACACACCTTTCCCTTATTCTGTAAAATGAAGTCAGTTGGCTTGTCTCTGTGAATAGAGCTCTCTCAGACATACTTTTGGCATGATGTACGAACTTTTTTGGCACCTCTGCTTTACAGGGGCGGAGAGTTTGCAGCAGTAGGGCGAGCGCTGTGGAGGTTAAGTGGTGGAGAGAATCGATGGGCGTTATCAAATCTAACACTTTCATTGACTCAATGCTGACAAATCCCTTGATCAGGACCGTTGAGGGCAGCCAGACTGGCCTTCTTCTGTTCTTCTCTCTACTCTCTCTGTCCCATTTGGACTGCCCCAAAGCTCTTTTATTTTCGGCTTAGGGCCCGAAGGTGGAGCCCTTTTCGCACTTCTATAAGCTAGAATTCTATATCAAATACTGTGTCTAAGTGGCACTGAGGACACCTGTGGTCGTGTCCATGATTTGTGCCAGTGCGTTCCCTGGAGCGGTGTAGAACTCGAGGACTACACCAGGCGGTGGTACAAGGACATCTTGAAGACCATCTGTAACAGACTCGGAAGAGTTTGGGTTTATTACAAGGAGAGTTATCTTCCTCGGCATTGTGAATCTGGAGAAAGAGCACTTGCAGCGACCATCGTTTTTGGTGCTCTCGCCACCGTTTTCAAGGCCACTGGCTGATTAGATAAGATTGGATCAAGCCCACTTCTGAGAGACGCTGGGAGGTTGCTGCAAGGTCATTGAAAAGCAGCCATGTCAGCTAGAATTCTATATCAAATACTGTGTCTAAGTAGTGTGACGGGATCAGTCCTGACTGCCATAATGCAGTCCCCCTAGCCTGAGACAATGTGGAAGGGTTTCCGTGGCTCCTGGGGCTGCTCCATGTGTGCGGGACATGTCAACATAGCCAAACAATGCAGGAGACAGTGCCTGGACACTGTTTGCCCTCATTCTCGGGGCGTTTGGCACCGTTTTGGGCAGGGAAAAAGCAGATATGGGGTCTCCTCATTATTCTGCACATTCCCTGACCATTTCCCCCACCGACGGGGGGCAGGAATAGGCTGGATTGGGAGGGGGACACATGGATGACACGGCACAGGCGCACGTGATGGAAATTCCCCATTTGGAAGGTGGTTCATTTCCAGGTGCTGCTGGCAGTCATCCTGGCGTATTTCGCTCATTTCTGGGCCGATTCTCTTGAATAAAAAAATACCATAAATCGTAGGATAATCGTAGCTTTCCGTAGACCCCTCAAACGTGAGATTCTGACCATATTTGGTGGCTGCACAGCCCAATTAATGCCCTGCACCTCGAAAATGCGAAAATGCGGCCTCACTGGGCCCCCTCCCATGCATCCCCTGGCTGGGACAGGTGTTCGTTCATGAACAAGCATGTTATTGAGTCCTATTGGCTGAAGAATATCAGCATTACCTGCAAAACTGCGTGCATAATTGTCTAAACAGTGAAATTTGCTAAAAATAGCCCAAAAGCGCACTGGATTCTCTACCCCTTACAGGGAGCAGACCCTTGTGACACCTTGGCGGTTTGGTAGGGGACATATAGTGCTTTCAGAAGACATATTTTACATAGCATCGCGTGCAGTATTCATGGCTGTACACTGAAATCACTTATTTTGCACAAAAACACCAAAATGCGCACCATTACCCCTCCCTGGGTGATTCACTTTGGGCTTCTTGCCCTTTGGGATCATATCCTACTAGCTCACAGTAGTTTCTTCTCCTAATATGCAGTATAATCCACTCATTTGGTACATGGGAGATGAAATCAATCACTCCTCCCCCCTCACATCTGTCAGTACATTAATCTGGCCAGTATCCCCCTGCTTTGGACAAATAATTATATATGTGACTACTGTAGTTGTCCAGACAACCTCCCATGATACATCCTACTCTTTTATTTCAGCAAGGAGGTCCCCAATGCCTCTGCAACAGGTGCACTTTCCTTATTCTGGAAATTTCCGGATTTATTGATGGGGACAATGGCATCGCTCTGGCACACTCTGTACTTCATCCATCCTTTTGTTGGAGCTCGGAATATGTTACCATAATATTCCAGAGTATCCTGAACAAAGTCCGAACAAATTATATGCAGAATTGAATATTCTATGAACAATGTTGTCCTTCTGCCAGCCAATCTGGCAAACACAGATACTCCCCCTTGAATTCAGGTCCGTCTACTCCCTCTAAAATCATGGAAAAATGCGTTTTGAATAGGGAATATATAATAGTCTTGAAATACTATGGTCCCCCAAAGGTATGGAAGATCTATGAGAGAGGGTAACCAAAGACATGGTTAGGAAACATAATTAGCTGTAGCAAACCTGGTGATCACCACTCATTAATGGTCTTTCCCTGGCGCATTTTTGAGCCTCCTGCTTTCCACATTGACTCTATCATCCTGAAACTTTTTTGGGAATGACATGGCACATCTGTACGAGCTTTCTGTAGTGTCTGATTAAATAATTATGTCTCTGATCCTTCTGAAATGGCCAATCAGTGTGAGTTTGCTGTTATCTCAGTGGTCTGAAATGTGTTCTTGGGGGTATCTATATTTGAAAGGCCATTCTTCCTGAGTATGGGGAACACATTTTCTTCAGGATCAGCCAGGAATTGAGCCCAGGAGAGGTGAAACACTAGGAGGAAACCAAGGAAAACAGGAATATGTGTCCTGCAATTGTGGATTTGTATATTTTGAGACATGGGCCCGCAGGTGAGTACTCAACAATATACTAAAGAGTTTAAAATATGTATCAGAGTTCCTGGAAGTGCAGGGAAGGAGAATTTTCAGTGCGCATTTTCGATTTTGGAGGGGGAGGAGGAGAAGGGTGGAATAGAAAAGGCTGTAAGGGAGATATAACCAAAGAAAAGTGACAATTCGATAGGGTTAATGCAGGGGAGCATATATGACCAGTTATCTGGGTGCGAAAGGGGGATTTTGAGGAGGGTAATGGTGCGCATTTTGGTGTTTTTGTGCAAAATAAGTGATTTCAGTGTACAGCCATGAATACTGCACGCGATGCTATGTAAAATATGTCTTATGAAAGCACTATATGTCCCCTACCAAACCGCCAAGGTGTCACAAGGGTCTGCTCCCTGTAAGGGGTAGAGAATCCAGTGCGCTTTTGGGCTATTTTTAGCAAATTTCACTGTTTAGACAATTATGCACGCAGTTTTGCAGGTAATGCTGATATTCTTCAGCCAATAGGACTCAATAACATGCTTGTTCATGAACGAACACCTGTCCCAGCCAGGGGATGCATGGGAGGGGGCCCAGTGAGGCCGCATTTTCGCATTTTCGAGGTGCAGGGCATTAATTGGGCTGTGCAGCCACCAAATATGGTCAGAATCTCACGTTTGAGGGGTCTACGGAAAGCTACGATTATCCTACGATTTATGGTATTTTTTTATTCAAGAGAATCGGCCCAGAAATGAGCGAAATACGCCAGGATGACTGCCAGCAGCACCTGGAAATGAACCACCTTCCAAATGGGGAATTTCCATCACGTGCGCCTGTGCCGTGCCATCCATGTGTCCCCCTCCCAATCCAGCCTATTCCCGCCCCCCGTCGGTGGGGGAAATGGTCAGGGAATGTGCAGAATAATGAGGAGACCCCATATCCGCTTTTTCCCTGCCCAAAACGGTGCCAAACGCCCCGAGAATGAGGGCAAACAGTGTCCAGGCACTGTCTCCTGCATTGTTTGGCTATGTTGACATGTCCCGCACACATGGAGCAGCCCCAGGAGCCACGGAAACCCTTCCACATTGTCTCAGGCTAGGGGGACTGCATTATGGCAGTCAGGACTGATCCCGTCACACTACTTAGACACAGTATTTGATATAGAATTCTAGCTGACATGGCTGCTTTTCAATGACCTTGCAGCAACCTCCCAGCGTCTCTCAGAAGTGGGCTTGATCCAATCTTATCTAATCAGCCAGTGGCCTTGAAAACGGTGGCGAGAGCACCAAAAACGATGGTCGCTGCAAGTGCTCTTTCTCCAGATTCACAATGCCGAGGAAGATAACTCTCCTTGTAATAAACCCAAACTCTTCCGAGTCTGTTACAGATGGTCTTCAAGATGTCCTTGTACCACCGCCTGGTGTAGTCCTTGAGTTCTACACCGCTCCAGGGAACGCACTGGCACAAATCATGGACACGACCACAGGTGTTCTCAGTGCTGCAAGATGCTTTGAAGACATGGTATCTGAAGGCCTCATCGGGAAATATGATGGTTTTCTTGTCTGTTGCTGTGAGTAAGTGGCACTTGGGGTTATCTGACATCTGATTCTTTGTCAGTCTCTGACCATCCACTCACTCATCTGCTCCATGAGAACACCAGGAAACTAGCAGTAAATATCCTCAAAGCTGCCATTACTCAATCACTCTTGATTGGAGAACAATTTGGAATTATCACTACTGGCTTTGAGTATAAATACATCTATCACAAGGATGTGCGTAACTTCTTTGGTGCAACGTCAGAACGGTTTGCAGGGCTAGTAACAACTGAGCTGGGGGTTGTGGAACTAAGAGAAGGAGATCGTGCTCACATTGAAAGTATGATCAAGGAAGGGGTGGCCAGTATTGTGGCCAAGGGAGCTGATGTTATCATTCTTGGCTGTGCAGGTAAGAGCTGTTGTTGCTTGCCCTCTCATCCTGTTCTCAGTGGCCCTGTGGCAGGAATGGCAGGAATGGAAGAAGTTGTTAAACAAGGGGTGGTAGAAGCAGGTCTGCCACCTGTCCGAATAGTTGATGGAGCAAAAGCCAGAGTGCAAATCCTGGCAGGATTGGTGAGGTTAGAAACTTGAACATGATGGAGCCTAATATTTACAGTGGTGTTCTCTTGGAGCAAAGAAGCAATCGCCAAAGGAGCACTTAAGCCAACATTCCTGACAAGATATCTTCAAAACATCGAGGTGCCTCGGGAAGAGTCTGCCTGCTTTCCGTATGTCCCTACAAATCCTGTGTTCTTCTAGATGCGACGGTTGGCCTATTGATCATGGATGCTGAGGTTGGAATGCCAATGGTACAAAAATGCGACACGGGCAGAGGAGGAAGACAATGATCCTGTTCATGGGCTGGTCTTTGCCAACTTCTCCTCATGCCAAATCTTGACCCTCCTTTCTGCCATTGCATCCAAGGCAGCAGGTGTCATTAGTGTGTTTGAAGGACCTGAGTACAGAGAATATCGAGGGATGCAGATGCATGATTTAAAAAAGGAAGATTGCGTAAAAAACGAAGCTACCTTCTTGAAAGGAGATCCAGTGTGTCAGTTGGGCTTTTCTTGAACTGATCTGTAGCTCCAACCAGAGTACACTTTTGCAACTCCTCATATGCTTGTTTGGCAAGGGCAAGCCCGTTTTCTAGTGCTGCGAGGGAAGGATGAATGCGACTCGATGCTCCCATGCACTGCTACACCAATGATGTCATGATCATGATAATACCTTGTACCGAGTCATGCTCACACTGATAACAGATGTTGATGCAAGAATTGAAGGCTTGTCTATCATTTGATGTGATGGCAAGGAACCATTGTCTGAGGACTGAAGAAAACTGAGGGAATGCGAAATGGCGATCATGGAAGCACGCACATCCTCACTCTGATCCCTTGCCTGGCAAAGTGTGACAGTCGCTTCGACAGATTCCAGATATCCATGCATTAAGACACTGAAAATCTTATTCGCGGCTGGAAAGGCGTTAGCATGTTTCGGGGAAACGAAAAGAATGGGGTTGTCGAACTGACCAGGGATCATGTTGGAGCAAAAGTGTTCCCATGTTATGTTTGCAATTAGGATGTCCTAGCGGGATCAAAGGAGTAGAAATGGAAGCATGTGACATCAGTTAGAAGACCATAGACCCTCAGGTCAGCGTAATCAGTCTTCTTGTTTCGTTCCACCATGGCTGCAGGGATCATCAGAGCAACTCAAGAAAAATTAACTGAACATGTACACAAGAGTTCAAGAAACAGCTGGGCGAAATCAGAATCCCATCTCAACGATTAAGAACAAGGTCCTACCTGCAATGACGATCTAGGAGTATCTGCTAGTTGGAAACCTATCAACGAGAAAAAACTTACCTTATGCTCAACTACGCCTCCAGGTGAGTATGTCGTGGGAACCATAGCAGGCTCAGGCAAGTCGACTAGAAAAGGGCAATTATGGGGAATAACCACTACACTTGTGTGAGTACATAGAATTTGTGCACAAGATGTGGCTCACCAGCTCCAGGAATTTAACCCTAGCAATCTCCTGGCCCAATTCTACCCTTTCTCAATAGACATCAATGGTTTGCCAGCCGTTCTTGAACATTACTTTATGCATTGACAGGGGAAGCATACACGATGGCGATGAGAAGGGTTCAAGTTGTAGATGTTCCACAGCACCCGACAAGCCAAAGTGAGGAGCCACTTCAGCCCACTTGGAAGATGAGAAAGAGAGGAGAGCCAATCTACTCTTCTTGATCTGTCGGTCCATGATCCCAGCTTGTTGGGCAATGTAGGTGACCAAGACTGCAGCCTGGTCTGGTTCTAAGGTCTTCAATGTAGCCACAACATTGGTATCCCAGTCTTCCAGAAGAAATTCAAGGACATCTTTGAGTAAGTCTCTAGGGCGCTTCGGAGTCATGACGAAGGTTGTTGAAGGGACATGAGCTTCTTGTGAGCCTGGGGAAAATATCAGGTACTTATGTAATCCTTCTCCTATGCGACACATAGGATAGTTGAGGGCAATGAATTTGGGAATTGGAATTTATAGTGTGGATTATGGCAGGGACTACGGCGATCATTATGGTGGGCATTTCTGGATAAGGGTATGTGACTGGCACAACGCGTCCTCTCGACATGATTGCTCCTTCAAAACAGGTATATCTGCCTGGAAATTGCAAGTAAAAAATCCACGTCTTGTGTCTAAGTCATGGGGATATGCATCTCATAGTACTAGTGGAATTGGTGTTGGAGGTAGCAATTTGCCAATATCAGGTATCAATATGCAGGAATTGCATAGAATTGCATGTACTTACACAGGGAAGCTTTCACGCATCCAACATATAAAACTCTGTTCAACGTTCAACGTTCAACACCCATCTCAGGATGGTTGCATGGTGCTCAATGATCTTGTTGTCCTTGTCATTGTGGACGACACTGCCGCCTTCCCTTTTCCATCGCTGCTGGTCCCCTCCCTCCCCTCGCCATGCTGCTTCGCTCGTCTTGCCATATATTTCTTCTCTCTCACCATCTGCAACCTCCCTACTTATAGGAGTTGTCTTGCTGGTGTCTCCTCGTCACTTTCACTGTCAGGTGGCTGCCCTTCTGTTCGCCTCATCTTGGTTCTTGTGTCGTCTCACCACCCATGTAAACAACATATTTCCATATTTACCCTGTTACTAGACAAATTGGCCCACCATCATCCGTTCGGATTCAGCCATCTACCAAAGGGACATGTGTTGATTAAAGGCTTTGAGGTTGTCAGCCCTGCGTCGATTCCCTCTTGCGTCAGTCAGAGAACCTTAGTTGTCACTGGTCACTTTCTCGCCGTTGGAACGGGCCATCTTCATAGGTCTCATATAGGTCTGTAGGAGCCAGAGAACCTGATGTTCCCTGCTCAAACATTCATAGCTGAGGCAGCGAGGGGATGGAAGTTGCCACCGTAAATGATCGCCGTAATTGATCGCCATAAATTCCAACTCCCGAATGCACTCCATCCGCTAACCCACTCTCTATTCCATATGAACCACCCTCAGGCCCCTTTCCATTTTTTTCTGGCAGCAGGTGTGGCTGTTACACATGTCGGACATGCTTTGGTTCTCCATCATCATATTCTTCTCATTTGTCATGGTTGCAGGAATGGCTGGAATGGAAGAGCTAGAAACAAGGGGGCAATAGAAGCTGGCTTATCACCCAGTTGAATAGCTGACTGTGACGGTGCAAAAACAGGGGTGCAAATTCTAGCAGATTTAGACTAAAAACTTGAATGGGAGAAATTTCCGATTTCCTTGGGAGTCAGAGGGGTTGATGAGAAATTTTGCCGAGATGTACATGGGAGGTGTAAAGAGTAGTATCCTAGACTTTCACCTGCTTTGGCTGCTTCTGTGGGGAAGTGTTAGAATTCATGGCATAGCGCACATTCATCACAAGACTTACATATCCAGCTCCCTCAAAATCATATTTAATGCCAGCCCTTGCTAATTTATCCTTCCTCTCTAGTTGTCGCTTCAACAATCGGTTTGTGGCACGTTGTTGTTCCACTTCTGTGCAAAGCTAGAGAATATGCATCAGTGAGATCTGCTCATCTCTTAGGGTAAAGGTGCATTACCTTGTTTTGTTGATCACGTGTTACTCGTGCTGCTGGAACCTTCTGCCATTTCCGGTTGGCCCCCACCCATAATTCAGGATGAACCTCCTCCTTGGGGATCAGCTTACAATGTAGTATATGGCCCATTAGCAGGTAGTTGTCCATTGTCTCGGTGACGATTTTGGCAACTGCAGATGAATCAAATTCAATGAACCCATAGTGTTTTGATCGTCCAGTCTGGGAAATGACACAGATGATGAAAAAGGTTGGTCATAAAAAGGCTTGACCTACCTTCTTATTATGCAACACATGTACACGCATAACATCACCAAACTGCAAGAAGTACACTTTTAGTTGGTCCTTGTAGAATCCATGTGGGAGACGGCGAGGAAAAGGACTCCACGATCTTCTATCTGAAAACGAATTAATATAAAGGGTGTCTAACATATGCAAAGACACTTACTGGCTGCCACTTAGCTTTCTCCAACTTCATTTTGACTGTCATGTCATCCTTCGCGATGGTAGGCAGCTTTCTGATGTCAAAATCGGCAGGCTTGTTGTCCATAGCGTCATCTTTGTCCGAGGAATCCTCGTCCGTTGAGAAACCATGCAGCTGGTTGTCATTGGAGTCTTCATCTGATTCTTTTGCCCCATCGTCATTTCCTCCTTCCTCCTTGTCTTCAGAAGCAGAGGCTTCAGGCTTGGACGTAGGCGCCTTCACGAATTTTTTTGACTTGGACTTCTGGGTTGTAGATTCAAGTTTTCTGGGACACGAAATAGAGGTAGGAATAACTTCTTTTGTTGTTGCTTTCTTGGTGGGCTCTTTCGAAGTGGACAGAGAAGGTGTAGGAATGGTGACGCTCTCAGATGTAGGTGCTTGAGATTTGTTCTTTGACTTCCTGGGCTTGTCTTCCAAGACAGGTTTGACCTCTTGAGCAGCCTTTGACAATCCTTTGCCTTTCTTCTTGTTGGAATTTGACAGGATCTCCTCACTTAAAGTGGCCACCACGTCTTCAACAGCGATGTCTCCCACCAATTCTGCGTCCAAGTCTGCTGGCTCTTTTGATGCTTTCTTAGGCTTTTTGGACAGGGTCTCATTCTTCTTCGCCTTTTTCGACACTTTGGGGGGCTCCTTTGACGAAAGGTTGTTGTTGTCATCCCCTTTCTTACGCTTCAGGGCTTTGGCAGGTTTATAAGATGACTCCAATTTGGGAGATAGTTCGGTCTTTGGGTCAGGTTTCCCTGTGGACTTTTTGGACTTTTTATCGATGTTTAAAGGTGCCATGATTTGCATGGACCAGTTCAACAAACTGACAGAGTGATTGGGGAAGAGAGGTAGAGAATTACTGAACATCGAAACTGAGAACAAAAATATCAGTGACACCGAGAAAGTGAAGGTCATTGAGCAACAGACCACAACAACATGCCTCTTGAGCTTGAGATGATACCACGCTTCAGCAACCTGCACTTCCTATCTCAGCAATCCGAGCATGCTACTCAGGCTGAACTCTATGTGGACAGTGCCTCCAAAAAATTTCAAGATGACAAAGCCGCTTTGGAACGTCTCCAGCTGCTCATTCGCAGTACCATTCAGAAGGACTTCACAGACTCGGAATTGCCACAATCTTGGAGACAGGCAACTGTCAAGGAGTCTGAGGCGGAATCAGTGCGTAAGTGAGATTTCAGACCAGCTCACAACAGCCATATGACTTGGTTCTAGCTTTCTGATTAGTGTCCTCAACTCTACCACCTTACTTGATCTCTCTTGACCTGCCACCACCTCCACCTCCCAAGTTTGTGGCGAGTTTTCTGATATCTGCACATGTAAACTCATGTATAGTTCAGAACATGGGAACCAGAGATTGAAGACAATGACAAACAAGCCCTCGTTCACCGACAACGGGCAGAGGCTGCTTCTATCAATGCCAAAGACATCTTTTTGGCAGCGCTCATATTTGAGGTATCTTTGAATTATTCCCTTGTTGCTTCTTTTCCTCCAATGTTTTAGAGTAATACACGCCGCACAAAACAGTCGCCAGTAAAGATGAACACAGTGACCAAAATCCCAGCGCCTCCAATAATGATCTTGCGATCTGAACAGGAGCTCCACAAGACACGACTGCCTGGGTCTCTGGAAGAGCTTGCACGCTTTCCATATGTTCATGACAAATCCACTGTTCTTCCAAATGCGACGGTTCCAAAGCGCACATACATACCAGTCATTGATACCGAGGTTGAAGACTCCAATGGTCCGAAAACCTGATGCAGGCAGAGGAGGAAGACAGGTCCTGGGAAAGTGCGGCCTCCACCTCAATTCTGGAGACCCGAGCCTTTGTGGATGGGCCCATGCATGGGATACGCGTATGGATACCCAAGTAGCTTTGCTGTGATGAGCGGGTACAAGAGAGAGGATAGATGGCTGTACAAACGAGATAATAGCATGACCCGAAGGCAAATGCCACCCCTGTAAATACTTGGCGTTATTGATCAAGCATGCATTTGCCAAACACTACACGTTCAAAGGAGGGCGCAGTCAAAGTCTTGAACTGATCAACCGACTTGACTGCATATTTACTCTGTAGTACACCTTCCTTGTCTTTGTGATCACCAGTGACAAACTCCATAGAAGGAACTGCCCAGGCCATCTATCTGCAATCTCTCAACCGACCTGCAATGACCTCCACTCCCCTGCCCCCCAATCCCTTTGCCGTACCTCCAATGCCACAACTGCCCTCTCCGTCAGGATCAAGGCCAGGGGTTCAATTGGCTCTAGTTTCTCTTTTGGTCTGCAGAGTCTCATGGATTCATACATGGATGCAAATTCCAGTACAATGTCCAATCCCAATGCTGCTCTCAACCCCAACCATTCCGTTCTATTAACCTTGCCACTGAGATCTCTGCGCAAGCACAAGAGAGGAAAATCGAGTGCCAGCCGACACCCTCATCCTTTGGCAAATGATACCACGGATGTGTTTCAAGATTTGGAAGACGATGCAGACAATGAGAGTGAGTACAAGTGGGGAATGGTCAATTGGATGAGATTATGGTGGTACGACGCGTTAATGCAGCACCTCTATGATACTGCTACATTCTGGGGAGACAAGATTCTTAGCTGGACAAGTACGTCGTGTCTTGCACATGTCTTGGTCATGTTGAACGTGCTTTCTGTGAAGATGACACCAATGATGCGTTCTGGCTTGCACAGACCTATTTCATGACACACCAGTACGCTCGTGCTGAACGTTTACTCACCCAGCCATTCCCTACTACACCACTGAAACAACCGGTCTCACCAACACCTCCAGCAAATGGACACCTTCCAGGTCAACCTTCTAAAGGCAAAGGCCATGAATATGACGCTTTGCAACTCATGCTGTCGATGCCTCGGCTACCTATGGGTCCTGGTGGCATGATTGAACTACCAGAAGAGATCCAGGACCACGTATCTCGCTTAGTTGATATGAGTGTGGCATGCAGATACCTTGCAGCCCTATGTCAGGTTTGTAATACTGCTTCTAGACTCATCACCATTGCCTCATACATAGCGTCGTAGTTTTGGCAAGGAAATTGGGATTCTTCAATGGAAATGCTGGAAGAGTTGAATCCATTCCAAAAAACCGGTATGAGCCAAGAACAAATTCAATTTCCCATGAGCTGACCATGGACAACAGTTCAAGATGGAGTCGTTATCCCTAACGCAGATGCAGGCATTAAAGTACGGAAATTCTCACTTGTCCTCATTTATGACTAACAATAGATTTCAGGTAGAAGCTTCCATGTGCCATCTTCGAGGGTGCCTCTACCAGAAACTCAATCGTATAGCCCAAGCCAAGCAAGCCTTCACAGAGGCTCTTGCTCTCAACGTCAAATGCTACAAATCCTTTGAACAACTGATAGCCACTGAAATGATGACCCCGGACAAAGGTATAAATTTTGTCATCTAAATCTCGAAACGCACTAATTGACTTTCCTATCAGAATGGGAATTCGTGCAAGGACTCGCATATTCCACCCAAACACCCCAGGATGCTCAATTTGTACAGCTAATATACACCTCACGCTTACAAAAGTATCAACATGCCACTGAGCATGCATTTACTCGACAACGATTGGTCGACAAGTACGGTTTAGGCAACAATCCTGATGTACTATTTAGTTTTGCAGATGCCCTGTATGCAAACTTCCGCTGGGCAGACTGTTTTGTAATAATGACAAGGTTTATTCAATCCCTGCTTTTCTATTGGTTGTCTAATAGTCTTTCAAAAATTTTCCAGAATCCTTGGTCTTGTGGCCATCCACAGTCAAACTATGCCTCTACACATCGCATGCATGTACCATCTATCACATCTCCATTCGAAGCTTTTCATCCTCACCCATGAGATGGTGGAACGCGAACCTGAAAACCCTGTCAGCTGGTATGCTGTGGCGGTATGGTACTTGAGTGGACAGAAATGGCTACAGGCACGGCAATACTTCAGGTCAGGACTGGTTTCATGCACTTCTATCAGCTACAAAAATATATCAAACACTGCCTTTAAGCAGTGGGACGGGATCAGTCCTGGCTGTCATAAAGCAGTCAGCCTAAGAAAGAGGCCATGCCAGGTGTGCCGGTCTCCGAGAATGGGGGCGGGGGCATCAATACATGCAAACAATGAAGGAAACAGTGTCCAAACACTGTTTCCTTGTTGTTTGCAGCCCTCCTGTCACTGTTTCAGTGGGGAAAAAGTGCCAATGACGAGGAAATATATTTCCTCGTCATTGTACACTATTTCCCCCAGCATTGGGGGGGTGGGATTGGGTGGATTGGGGATGGGCACTTTGGATGACGCTTGGTATTTCTACCAGGTCATCTATTTTTAGATTGGCCCATCTCAGGCCACACAAAAAATAGCAAAAAAAATCATATTAAATTGTAAAAAAAATAAATACATGATGCAGGGGGCTATACTAGCCCCCTGCCAGGAAATAGAGATAAAAGGGGCAGAAATGGCGCATTATGATGCGCTGTTTCTGCCCAGGGCACTGGGTGGGAGCTCCCCCAACCCTGCCCACCCTCTCTGCTGCTCATCGGGGGTGTTGTGCGCCTGTCTGTCCCCTGTGCTGCTCGTGGAGGTGTTGTGCACCCGTCTGTCCTCTCTGCTGCTTGTCGGGGGCATCGTGGTACCCGTCCGTCCTCTCTGCTTCTCATCAGGGGCGTCAGGTGCCCGTCCATCCCCTCCGCTGCTTGTGGCAGGTGTCGTGTACCCGTCTGTCCCCTCCGCTGCTCATGGTGGGTGTCATGGTACCCGTATGCCCTCTCTGTGTTCTTTGGGGGCCTAGGGTGCTCGACCGCCCCTCTGTTGCTTGCTGGGGGGTCTGGGGTGCTCATCTGCCCCTCTGTGAATCGTTGGGGGATGTGGGGTGCCTGTCTTCTCCCTCACTGCTCATTGGGGTGCTCGTGGTCCCCCCTCCTCATGCTCTCCCTTCTGCTTGAGCCACTGGTGGTGGGTGCTGAGCAGGAGGCAAAGGGTGGGGGTGATGGGCAAGGGAGGGCGGGGGGCAGGGTGAGGGGTGAGGGGCGAGGGCAAGAGGGCAGAGGGGAAGAGGGCAGAGGTTGAGAGGGTGAGAGGGGAGAGGGCGAGAGGGCAAGGCAGGGGATGGGGGAGTGAATGAGGGGCAAGAGTGAGGGTGAAGGGTGCCCCCACCACCCTTGTCGTCATGCCCCCACCGTCCTCATCATTGTGCCACTGTCCTGGTCATGCCGCTGTCCTCATCATGCTGCTGTCCTCGTCATGCTGTTGTCCTGGTTGTGCTGTCCTTGTTGTCCTTGTTGTGCCATCCTTGTTGTGCCCCCGCCATCACCTGCTGTTGTCATTTGTCACACGCTGTCGCCATTCGTCGCTGTTGTCATTCATCATCGTTGTCATTTGTCGTGCAGGCAATGAGAGGCAGAAGGTGGTGGGGAGCTTGAGGATGGAGTGGGGGAGAGGGAGAGAGGGGCACAAGAGGGGACCTGGGCAGGGGTTTTGTGTCTCTGCCCACATCTCTATAGAAGGGGAGGGATGCAAGAGGTGAGGCAAGAGATGGAGGGATGGGGTTCCTGCCCCAGCCCACATCCCTATTGAAGGGGAGGGGCCAGAGAAGCATGGAAAATGAAGGTTGAATTAAAGGTGTATTAGAGTAAGAAAACATGAATAAAATAGATTACTTATTGTTTTTTCAGTCTTGAGGTGTTGTTTGGGGTGTTGGGTGAAGAGGGGAGAGGCCAGGTAGTGGTTGAAGATGAGGATCAACGACTCTTGTTGTCATTGATGGCTTATCCGGCAAACACTGTGAACAATTTGATTGGCTGGAGAAGGCGGTCCAGCGATCCCCCATTCCGCTCATCGACCTCGGAAGCACCAGTATGCTTGAGACATGACAAAAATATTTTTATTTATCATCGGTAATTGATTAACTTACAATTGTCTATGTATTTATGTAGGTCCGAATAATATATGAGACCAAGAATGAGCAAAAAGTTCAAGTTACCATTTTCGCGTGGTGATTGTCGTCTTCTTGATGTTTTAACCCCTCGAATACCACTCATTTGACAAGCTGAAACACCACAGTAACCTCACATTTTGGATCCTTCAGTAAGTAAGGATATCATACATAAAAATTAGCCTGAATTTACAATGCAAATCCTATGATACAAGCTGGTGTCTGATATTTGACACATCCATAAGTTGGTTTGACTACAGAATCTACCCCGTTGTTGGCAGTTTCTGAGTTTACATCCTAAAATTACTAAGTTGGCCAGGAGAGCTTCATTCCTCAATACTATCATAAGTATTCAGTCTGTATACCATTTTTATATATTTATTTCGCTTCTTCTGCCTCTTGGAATTTACATGCAGAGGAGAGAGTCCCCCAATTGGCCTGGACCTGAGATAAATTCACTCATAAAATATTTAATTTTGGTTATATTTTGTTAAAATTACATGTAGAGATGCACTTAGATACTAATAACAATTTACGAAAGTTTGAACAGAGAAAGGACGTGTTCTGCATCCATCAGAGACATTCTGTTGGTCGACAACGGAACGGAGGGAGTTCGGGCTGCAAGTCCTAGCCAATGGGATGCGTGGCCGGAATTCGCCAAACCGCGATCAACGATGTTGAACATCGTTGATTTGTGTCTTTCTCCACCTCCTCCCTCACCCCCTCAGCCCTGAAACACAAAAAGAAGGTAAGCACATGTCATTCATATGTACTTACATCCACACTAACCCACCTCTACCCTCACAGAACCTCGTCCACATCTATGACGATGCAACGAAGTCACTAGGCCCCTCCCCTCATGACAGGGATGTGGGCTAGGACACCCTCCTGCCCATCGCTGACCGCTTGCCCACCACTGCCCTCTCGCCCAACTGGCCTCTCGCCCACCATTGCCCTCTCGCCCACTCGAACAGGCACAAGATGGCAACGGCAGGCACAAGACGATGATGGCGAGCACAACAACGATGACGACAGCTGGGGGGCACCCTTCACCCCCGCCCTTGTCCCTCATTTGCTCCCCCATCCTCTGCCTCACCCTCTGCCTTGTCCTTGCCTGCTTGCCCACCATCACCCGCTTGACCAGGTAGAGGATGGCAGTGGCAGGTGCAAGACAACAACGGTGAGCACCACAACGACAACGGTGGTGGGCAGACACTTCACCCCCACTCTCAGCCTTTGCTTGCTTGCCCCGTCCTCTGCTTGCTTGCCCTGTCCTCTGCCTCACACTCTCGTCCTCTACCTAGCCCTGTCGCCCTGTCGTCCTCTGCCCCACCTTCTTGCCCACGTCCACCCTGCGTCCGTCCCTCTGCCCCGCCCTTGCCCTCTTCCCCACCATCTCACCATGTCACCTGTGTTGCCCATCTCGCTGTGTCGCCATCTCCCCATCTCCCCATGTCACCCATCTCTTGCCCATCTCTTGCCTGTCTTGCCTGTCTTGCCCATCTCTCCATCTCACCCACCTCGCCATCTCACCCACCCTGCCATCTCGCCATGTCACCCATTTCGCCGTGTCGCCCATCTCGCCCATCTCACAGCCTCGCCTGTCTCACCCACCTTGCCCTCTCACCCACCCCACCCTCTCGCCCACCCTGCCTTCTCGCCCTTCTCGCCCCTCAGCCCCCCTCCCTCAGCCTCGTTCACCCTCTCGCCGACCTCGCCCGTCTCACCCTTCTCGCCCGTCTCCACCATCTTGCCATCTCACCCACCGTCTTGCCATCTGCTCCGCCGTCTTGCCCCTCTCCGTTCGCCCCTCCTCACCGTTCGCCCCTCACCCTGGCCAGCACCCACTCGCCAACAAGCAGCCCAAGCACGAGGGTGAGCACAAGGAGGGGGAGCACAATGAACAGACAGGAGGAGCATGAGAAGGGGGGAGAACAGGAGGAGGGGCAGAGAGCAGGAGGACAGCGACATGTGTACAGCGAGCAAGGCGGCGCTGAAGTGAACCCAAGGGCAACCAGAGGTGCCAAAGCCCAACACGAACACAGAGCAACACGAGCATGGCAGCAACACAAGCACAGCACCGACAGAGTACGGCCATGGTAGCAGGTGGCAGAGCAGAAACGATGTGCTGTGGTGTGTTGTTTCTGCTCATTTTCTCTTCATTTCATAGCAGGTGGCTGGTAGAGCCACCTGCACCATGTATATATTTTATTTCAATTTAATATGATTTTTTCATAATAATTTTCGTGTGCTATGAGACACCCCCGAGCTCGCCAGATGTCATGACAGACGACAGCGAGAGCATTACAATGGATGTGTCATAGTAATTACATTATTATCTAAAAATAGTTCCAGGCCCAATGAAAAAGGCTGCATCATCCAAATGCACCTGGCCCAATCCATCCAATCCTGCACCCCAAGCTGGGGGAAACGGTGCACAATGATGGCAAAATATATTTCTGTGTCGTTGGCACCTTTTCCCTGCCAAAAACGGTGGCAGGAGGGCCACAAACGATGAGGAACAGTGTTCAGACACTGTTTCCTTCATTGTTTGCATGTATTGATGCCCCTGCCCCCATTCTCAGAGACTGGCACACCTGGCATGGCCTCTTTCTTAGGCTGACTGCTTTATGACAGCCAGGACTGATCCCGTCCCACTGCTTAAAGGCAGTATTTGATATAGAATTGTAGCTGACATGGCTGTTTCATGTACCCTGGTACCCTTGACCTGTATTGACTCCGCCGCCACAGCAAGACAACTTTAATTGATCCTTGTTTTGCTCCAGCATGGGTAGCCTTTGCCCACACATTCGCACTCGAAGGAGAGCATGACCATGCCGTGATGGCGTATTCAACATGCTCCAGGATGTTTACGGGGTACGTCCACCAAAATGAATCAACAGCCTCTGCATACTAATCCATACCCACAAGGTCACATATGCCATTGCTATTTGTAGGCATGGAGCAAATAATGCTGTCAAACTATGGTCTCGCAGATGAGGCTCTAGATGCTGCGGCATCGATGTGTGATGGAGATCTGCTCTTGATCAATGAGAGAGCAGTCATGTCCTATAATCATGGCAAGTAAGTGCTAGCCCCACGTTGGACTGAAATTTTTGGGCCCGACGGAATCTGACACTGGGTCGTTTTGTACAGCTTTGAGAAGGCTGCGAAGATGTTCCAAATGGCATTAGATCTGGCACAAGTGACCCAGACATCGCAAAAAGCATGGGCGACGACTTATCTCAACCTCAGAACAGCGTACCGAAAGCTCAAGTCAGTGTCTATTCTAGCCTCCTGGCCTCTGTGGCTCAATTTTTTTTGCTTTGGGTTTCCATAGACGCTATGAGGAGGCTCGGATGGCATATGTTAAGGTGTTAGAGCTGGACCCGCGTCACTCAGTCACCCTAGGTTTTCTCGGGATTGTGCACCATCTACTGGGCAATTTGGACAAGGGGCCATTGTCAAGTACCACAAGGTGGGTTCCTGCTCTCGGCTGTGTTGACGCACATTCTGAATATGAATTCTTCTATCGCAAGGCATTGAGTATTGATCCTATCAACCCCCATGTCCTAGAGCTTCTGAACATTGCCCTGGAGTCCTCATTGCTCGCCACTAAAACCATTGAGGCCGACTTCAAGAATGCTGTGAAGCTGTTGAAGAACAAGTTCAGCTGCCACCACAGTGGGAAGGGTAAAGAGAAGGCCCCAGATGACATGAGCATCGGTTGAGGCCTATGCACCAAAATATATGTGGGTATTATTCCATGGCTGTATTCCTGCATGTCGGTGGGATTTCTTCTGTGACTTGGCAGATGCAAGCAGAGATTCAGGCTTCAGCCATGAAGTGGGATTCTAAATGGTATTTACATTTAGATGAGCATTACATGGATTACATTTTGGTGGATGACTAAGTACAGTGATACATGAGTAGAAGCGTGGATAGAATGCTGGCAGAGGTGTCCATGTCTATGGAACCAGAGAGTAAATTAGCTATTGATAACAGTAGCATTTGTGATAATTCCGCTGGCTGGGCCTCTGACAAAGCCTTCTTGGTCTTCATTGGATAGGTCTTCAAGAGACTTTCCTTTTGTCTCAGGTAGCAGGAGAGTGGAGAAGATGCCAGTCAACATGAAGAAAGCAAAGATCTCGAGATTAGCAAACAAAAATCAGAAATTTGGCCAATGCAAACGAGTTCTGAAGGATGCTTACATATGCGTCACAAATTTGTTCGGGCCACCAATGTCCTTCAGCTGGCTGAAGCCGACCTGTGCGACGATGGCTCCGAGCTTCCCACTGGCAGCAGAGATACCATGGGCAGTCGAACGGTAACAAATGGGGAAAATCTCTCTGGGGATGATGAAGGTCGTGACGTTAGGGCCAAAGTTCTGGAAGAAGTTGGCAAGGCAGTAAAGGAATACAAATGCCTTTGTGGCAGCGGCAGGGGAGATGAGTCTGTCATAACCGAAGCCTAGATTCAACGGTCAGCTACTCTCATCCAAACGTTCGGACAAATGAACTGACCAAGGATAACGAAGAGGATAGTCAGCATAATGAAACCCATGAGCTGGATGGGCTTGTGACCCCAGGAATCGATGAACAGGAAAGAGACCCAGTATCCAGGAATCAGGCCAGCAGCCAACAGGATCAGGTTGCTGATGCAAATGTTGTTCAAATTGTCATAGACTCCCCTGACGCCTGTCGTAGAGGGCTTTCCAAAACCGATGGCTTGCAAGATGATGGCGGAGTTGAGGCCAAGGCCATAGAAGGCAATCTATGCACCACTTAAATCAGAAAAGGCGCTGAAGCGAAGAAGCTGAAATGTACGTCGAGGGCAAACCACGAATACGAGGTTCCAAAGATGATCTTGAAGTTCTTCCACTGTCCGAAGTAGGTGGTGAAGTTGTTCCAGCTCGCCTTGGGTGCTTCAATGCACTGAACAGGAGCGTCCTCGTCGAGGCGGTTCCTCTGGTTGGTGAGGACATTCTTGATGTCAGCAGAGGCATGGTCAATGTTGTGCTCGATATCCATAGTGAAACGGGGGGTTTCAGGGATTGTCAGACAGAAATATAGGGCGATGACGCCGGGCACACATCCGAGACCAATGAGGAGATGCCACATGAAGTCAACAGCTTCGAGTTCTGCAACAGACAGAGCGGAAAGGATGGCGCTCTTGTAGGTGGCGGTAATAATGAAAGCAACCAAGGCAGCAGCTAGAAGACGCAATTAGGATGCAGTAAATACAGGAGAAGATAGGGCCTACTGAAGTTGCCCCAGCCCTGCAAAGCGAACACTGCGGTCATCATGCAACCACAAATTTTGGTGGACGTGAATTCAGAGGAGATGACAGCACTAAGGGGGTAGTCGCCTCCAATACCAATACCCATCCGTTGGGGCTGGTAAGTGCGAGGAGTGGAAGAGAAAATAAGTTGAAACTTACAATGAAGCACCACACAATCAGAACACCAACTATGTGGATGGCGGCGGCATTTCCAGACAGTGCTTGGGCAAAAGTCACAACGATAATGATAAGCAGTTCTATACCGTCTGCAGAGCTGTTTTAGATCAGCTAAGGGATGTGCTGAGCCATGATGTACACATTCTCTTTTGTCTGACCAGATCTGCCAACCAACCAAGGTGCCAACAGGAGTGGCCACTTTGACACCAAGATCCTGTTGTTTGTTGAGGCCAGCGTAATCTGAACGCACATTTGTTAAACTTGTGATGTCCAAGATGTAGAACTAGAGATATGCAGGGTCCATACCTGGTCCATAGACGTATCCAAGCATCATGGAGGTGATGTTAATGGCAAAGATATTGTAGCTGTTGAAAAAACCATTGAGCTTGCGGTAGAGAAAGGGCTGAAGAACAAAATGCATATGCATCGGTAAAGAAACCAACACCAGCGACGAGACAGACTTTGGCATGGAACCAACTGAAGGAGAGGGTCAGTGTGTGCCCATTCTTGATATGCTGAGGACATATGAAAACTTGGCATTGTCAACTTCAGCCAAAGCAGCTCGGCGTCGCTCATCTAAGACATATGCAGCATCAACACGAGCAAGGACCTTTTCTTGCGATCCAGTGCTTGACCCTTTCTCCTGGAAGCTGGCCATTGTGTTGACAAGGGGTAAAAGAGAAAAAGAGACAAGCGATAGCGAGGGCGCCTGAGAAGGGGTTGCAAGATGCCATTCCGCTTTTATAAGAAGAATAATTTTTTCAGAGCGCCGTCAGTAAGGTTAAGGCAATATGGTGGCTGTAGGAACGTTCGTAGGTTGTAGCCAATCAGGGAAGATGTAAGCTGACACATGTGTGTTAGAATTTCCATTCTTGGCATTCCTGATGCCTCAGATGGGTCCTCGGAATCGGCAAAAACGGGACTCCATCTCAAGATCTGCCCTAACATTGTGCCTACTGTGCTAAGAATAGCAAACCCAAATATCAGGAGAATGGCTGCAGCAGTGAAACAGATAGCTAAATGACAGTGAGGGACTGTCGAACAAGGCTGAGCGGCAGCGCTGGGCCCGTCTTCATTGATAGGAGAAAAATCTTGAAGCCGGCTCATCTGCTGCAGCACCGACAAATTGGTTGTGTGCCGGTTCTTTAGTAAATCCTCTTGCCCAATGATCCAAGAGTTGAGAGTAGATTCTGCATATGTCTTGGAGTCTGCCTTGGACTGGCCTCTCGATGCCTGCTCACACGACATGGGTGGGATGACTAAGAAGGTTCTCATGGGGCACAGCAACACAGGATTTGCAAGCCTTCACCACGACACTGTTGAATGTCCACCAACATGACACACCTTTGCGCACTGGCACTGTACAAGGAATTGCATAGATTAGGGCACAACTATCCAGACCCATCGTGTGTCCCTACCCTGTGGTGCATGTCCGAGTGCTTCGTCCCGCTAACAGCCTCCCAGGTACGATTTCCACAGCAGAATACACAGGTTGTACAAAAGTAAGCAAATGAAATCCATCATATCTACCCCAAAATTTAATGGAAGTTCGTGATCCCTACCAGAAAACAAAAATCTGACCAATAAAGATGAGATCGAGAATGCGCTGAAGCTCAACGAGTATATCAAGAAAGGTATCTGGAGACTTTCTGCTCACTGGTTCTTTACCAACGTTACCGTCAGAGACACTGGCGCTTTACTCGCTGAGAAAGTATCGACATCTCAAATGGATGTATCCACACTTGCTTTCCAATCCTTGAATGGGTGTCACATCCCATTCCTGAACCCATTGTTCCATTGTCCCATTGTTCATTGTTCTGGTTCATCAATGGGCTTTCCCTTCATTGTTCTATTCATTATTGTCCTTATTGTTCTCTGTCATTGTTCTGCTAGCATTCATTACATAACCTAGATCTTCTCCATTGTTCTCAATAGTATAAGTAGCTAGGTAGTGTACTGGATTCCCCAGCTTGAATCTCAACCTTGACATCTCCTCTGCTCTGTTGTTCATCCTCTGTCTCCTGGGCCTTGGCCAGGATGACTTCTTCTTGTCTCTCCTTTGTCAAGACCAAGGCAGTTTCTGTAAATTGGGGACAACCAGATGATGTGTAGGGGCACAGCACAAGAGCATGCTGAGGCCAAGTCCCCTCCTCTGTTCAGGTCATTACAATGGGTCAAGACATCAGTCACACAACTCTAGGGCACGTTCGATATGTGACCGCATGTACCAGTACACCCCACTTGTAACAGCCAGAAGTATGCATCAATAATAGGCTACTGGCAATTCTCGGTCATAAATCATAGCTGCCAGTAGGCAGCCAGGCTATTTTCTATGTGCTGCTGGGTTTGCCGGGGCTTGGAACTGTCTGCCAAGGCTGCAGGGACAGCAAACAATGACCAAACAATGCTTGGGAACATTGAATAGGGTGCTCGTCATTGTTGGGGGTGGGACAGGGCATGGGAAAGCTTCCCAATCGGGTACAATGCAGGAGAATGCCTCTCTGGGATGCCTGGCAATGTAAGTGGCCTCTAGCTCATCGTTGGGGACAGCAGGTGGCCCCGTTTTTTGGGAATATAATGTCGGGGTATATTCTTACCCATTTCAGGTGTTTGTGCGCCTCACAGAGGGCGGGAGGGGGTGGATGGGTAGTTGGGTGTTTGGATGATGTTCTATTTTTAGACCACGTCATCCAGGAACCTTGGGCACACTCAAAAGCATATGAAAAAAGCACGAAAAATTCATATAAAATCATAATAAAATAAATACATGGTTCTACTAAGTACTTGCTACAAGACAGAGATAAAAGAGCAGAAACAGCACACCATGAACACACTGTTTCTGTTCCGGGGGAGGGGGGTTCAGTCGTGGTTGTTGCCTTCACGCTGGGTTGCTCATGCTTGCCTTCATGCCATGCCTGCTTGCGCTCATGCCTTGATCATCGTCATGGTGGGGTCGTCCTCGTGCCGTCACGTGGTCGTCATTATCATGGCGTGGTCGCTGTCATACTGAGGTTGTCATGGTTCATGATGCCCTGCAGACCATCCTCGTTGTGCACGAGGTGGTGCTCACCTTGCTGGTGTGTTCATCTGGTCCCCATACTCCCCTGTCGTCGTTCCTGCCTGGTCTTGGTGGTCATCTGGTCATCGGTGGTGTCGTGTCCATGTTCACCCCTGTTCGTGCTCATGCTCCACCTGCTCATCGACCACCTGCATGTGGTCCTCTGACCACTCAGGCTCGTCATCCACCCACTTGTCATCGTCCACCTGCTCATCGTCGTCGTCCACCTGCTCATCATTGTCATCCACCCACTCGGGCTTGTCTTCAGCCCACCTTGCTCATGTAGCCAGTTGCACCCTGGCGCCCATGTTTGTGTCGCGTTTGTCTTGCATTCTTGCTTGCACTCGTGCTTGTGCTCGTTCGCCTGCACCGGCTCCCTGATGCCACTCTTGTGTTTTCGCTTTCACTGTCGTGGTCTCGTCGCTGTGCCAGCAGAGGTACTGGGCGAGAGCCAGGTGAAATGGAGGAGTGAGATGGAGTTGCGGTAGATAAGAGATGGCGTGGGCGAACGAGAGGCCGAGAGTGAGCGAGAGCACATGGGCACAGGGTGTTGTGCTGTCGCAGTCACGGTCCTAGTCTATTGGCACCACCACCCCTCTGTTGGTGCTCGCCTGTTGTCGTCCCCCCTGCCCACCGTTTCGTCCTTGTGCCCGTTCCAGCTCAGACACCTGCTCCTACCCTTGTTCCTGCTCACCTGACGTCAACTTGTTCACTCTTGCGCCCCCCATTGCGTTCATCCCATACCTGCGGTCGTGCCCATGCCCAGCCTGCCATCCTGTCATAGCCAAGCCATGGGGCAGGGGATGGGGAGAGGTCAAGAGAGAGGGGGTGAGGAACAGCTTGGAACGGGGTGCAGAGGCAAGCGTCGAGGGGCTGGTAGTCACACGATGGGAGACGCCCACATCCCTGTTGAAGGGGAGGTGTGTGTGGTTGGCAAGGCAAGGCAAGGGCGATGGGTGATGGGCGGAAGAGGGGGGTTGGTGTGGGTGCTCAATGGTGCGCTTGTGCCTGGCCCACATCCCTATTGAAGAGGAGGGGTGCAAGATGGAGAGAAAATGAATGTTGACTCAAAGTCGATGTTCATGGGTCTAATTTTGAATTAAAACCTTTGTTAGAGTCTTCATATATGAGTAAAATGTATTACTTACGTTTTGTAACTGGCTTGGGCCGTCATTTGAGGCATTGGACAGAGAGGTGGCATGCCAGGTGGCGGTCGAGGATGAGCATCAACAACTCTCATTGTTGTTGATGGCTTATCCGGCAGATGCCGTCCGCCAGCTGATTGGTTGGAAGGTGCAGCCTGCTTCTCTGTGGTTCCGCTCATGCATGACGGAATCGCTATTGCACAGCACAGATGGTGAAGGACGATTATTTTAGTGTCGGAATCTCATGGTATAATATATATCTATTTATCTGTGTCCGAGGGTATTTTTTCAAAGGGAAACATAGAATAGCGATGTGAGCTACTCATTTGCCTTAAGCTACCCTCCAGGACTATATGCTTTCTATGAGAAGCCCCTGATCAAAAGGTAAGAGCCATAAGAAGTGCATTAATAGACTGTGTATCTATCTCCTGAACTCTCTGAATGCAAATTCGTAGCACTTGCAAGCGGGTGAAGTATGCAGTGAAATTTAGATTGAACTAATGTACACTTTTGCAACACTTTCGAGGGGCTTCAAAAGGACCCATCACACTGGACAAGCCACAAAACAATTCATCCAAGTTATGCATACATTCAAAGTACAACTACCATTTAATTTAGGGCGTAAACGAGGTGGAATCGCCATGAAATGATGAGTGAGTGGCCCCAAACCGTGGTGATCTTGGTACAATGGCTGTCGGACCGCCTTGTCCAGCCAATTGGAGGACAAGCGGCCTTTGCTGGATGACCATCAGCAATGACAAACCGTCCTCAATCGCCACCAACACCACCCTCCTTCGTCTTTCTGCTGCCATCCAACGTCAAAACGCGAACATAAGGTAAGTAAAGGATGTGTCTATGTACATATCACAAAACTAACCTAATTTTATGCCCACAGAAGCCCTGCCATGAGTCACAAACCTGCCGTGTGCCATGTAGGCTGGTGTGTCCTTGACCCACCACCCTCTCTTCCCTCCCATCCTCATCAGGCCACCTTGCTCTAGCATCTCTCACACGCCTGCGCCCGCTTCTGCCCCTCTCCTTCACCCGCACCTGCACCTTCACCTTCCCACTCGTCCTTGCCTGCCCACTCACCCACACTCGCTCACTCACCTACCCCACCACTGCATCCCGCCCATGAAACCACCTCACACCGCCTACGACACCGCTCACCTGACCTTCTGCTGCCCCTCCAGCTCTTGCCTAGCACCACACCTCCGCCCGCCTATGCCCTCCCTTGTCTCCTGCCTTCCATGCTTGGAGCAATGGCATCTCATAGATGTCGTGCTCAGGAGGATGGGGACAAGTGGATGATGTCGATGACTGCGTGAGTGGATTTAGGGCGATGGCAGCGAGACAAGCGGGGCGATGACAGTGAGACGAGCAGGGCAACAACAGCAGGATGAGCAGCGAGACAATAGCGAGATAAGCACAGCAGTGACAACGAGACAAGCACAGTGACGACAACATGATGAGCAGGGCAATGACAGTGTGACAAGCAGTGCGATGGCGAGACCAGCACAGTGGCGGCGAGACAAGCAAGACGGCAGTGGGGCACTGGTTGTCCCACAACACTGTGGTCATGACGAGTGACATGACCACAGCGCGAGGACAATGCCATGGTAACAAGCATGTGAGGATTTTGCCCTCACCCTCGCCTCACTTGCCCCCTCTCACATACCCCCTCCGGCCCACGACCAGTTCAGATTCTCTCAGACGCTTGCCCTCACCGCCTCACCGCCTCAGCCACCCACCCTTTCACTTCCGGCTGTCCCCCATCCAAACATCACACAGCGGACGAACGGCGAGTGTGCCAGCAGCGTAGGGAAAGATGACGACCGGGCGGCACGATGATGATGATTGCACAACGACGAGGACGGCACAATGGCAAGGACGAAGATGACGACGAGGATGACGACAGCACAAAGACGACGAGGACGGTGCGACGAGGATGAGGATGGTACGAAGATGACTACGATGAGGACAGTACGAAGGCAACGACGAGGACAGTACGAAGACGACGAGGACGGCACGATGACGAGGATGGCATGAAGACAAGGGCAAAGACAAGGACAAGGACAAGGACAGCATGAAGACAACGAAGGCAACGAGGATGGTGTGACAAGGACAAGGATGGTATAAAGATGACAACGAGGACAGTACGAAGACAATGAGGACGGCATGACGAGGACGAGGAAGGCATGAGGATGAGGTCGGCATGATGAGGACAAGGAAGGCATGAGGATGAGGATGAGGACAGCACAAAGACGACGATGAGGACGGCACAAAGACGACGACGACGACAGCACAAAGACGAGGACGGTGCGACGAGGATGAGGACGGTACAAAGGCAACGACGAGGACGGTACAAAGATGACAACAACGATGGTACAAAGACGACGATGGCATGAAGACAATGAGGACAAGCCTGAGCAGGATCACCACTGCACGACCCCAAGGAATACCAGCATGAGGTGGGGCAGGCACAACTAGCACGAGGCGAGGGCAAGCATGGCCAGTACGGCGGTGAAGGCGAGTATTACCCTGAGCAGAAATGACGTGCCATGAATGTGTTATTTCTGCTCATTTTGTCTATACCTCGCAGTTGGTGGCTTTACTAGCCTCTGATGTCGTGTAGTAATTTTATTTCAATTTAATATATTTTTTTGTCATTTTTTCGAGTGTGTCCAAGCTTGCTGGATGTGGTTGTTCTAAAATTAGAACGACATCCAAACCACCACCCACCCATCCACCCATCCCACCCTCCCCTGAGGCAGGCAAACACCTGAAATGGGTAAGAA